AATCCAGCCCCCAGTACGTTGAAGGAACCCACTGTAAGTCCAGCAGCCTGGAAGGCCAGCACGTCTGCTCCTTTGTCCCAAGGGAGACGGAGAGGCCTGCATGGCCGTTTTTCCCCTTGGAGGATGAGGTGGTATGGCTGTGTGTAGCCAGGTCCAGAAGAAACTCACACCCACCCATACCTGGAAGGCGTGTCCTACCCTACAGACCTCCACTCCCTCCTAGTAGAACCCTGGGATGGGCGTGGGGGGCTGGGATGGAAGAGGAACTTCCCACTTGGGCACTGGGAAGGGCTGCTGTGGGTGGAGCATTGCTGCCACCTTCTGGGCACTGGGGGCAGAGCCAGGTAGAGCCTACGCAGGGCCGGAACCAGAGGGGTGGCTGCTGGGCCTGCCCTACCAGCATGGAGGATAATGGTCTGCAGAGGCCCCTCAGACTTTTCAGTTGTATTATCCCCTCGGGGACCAGACCTGGCTAGGAATCTGCCCTAGAACACTCCACAAGGCAGGGAACTTCCCAGAGGGACCAGTTTGCATCAACACTGCAAGCACAGGGCACACCCATCTCTAGCAGGGCCCCGGGCTGTCTCGCCTGCCCCAGAGTTGGTGTGCAGTAGCTCCCACCCCCTCACACAGGTCGGGTGAAACACTGCTCAAGCCTAGCAATTTCCATATAATCATGGCATCACCACTCAGCTTAGCCTTCACAGAGTCCCAACAACCTGTGTGCCTTAATGGAGGGATAAATGGAATCTGTGGCTGCACAATAGCAGGACTGACTTCCTCTAGAGGTGAGCCCAGCTACCTTGTGGGCTACAGAGTGCTTCCTCTGAGCATCCCTCGTTCCTCCTTAGCTGGGCTTCCAACAAAGGGCAGGCCTGGAAGCACGGATGGTGTGGCCCCACCCTACATCTACTCCAGTGCCAGGCCCAAGGGGGTCCCAGCTGCCCTGAGTTTCTAGTCAGATAAATGAGACACCCTGGACAGATAAGCACCACAGAGCCTACTCAGTGACAGGCCAAAGGACTCACCTGACGATGCCATGCCACCACCTCTCTTGGCTTTCAGGTGTGGCCTTTTTGATGACCCCCTCACATACTACATTCTCAACTTCAACTGCATTTGAAGATAAATGGTTGAACAGCACTGGGTGTTGGGACTGTTTTGGGCTGGGATCGGTAGCCAAAAGGTGAAGATCTGGAGAGATCAAGGAGTGTCATTTTGTGGGTACATGAGTGGCTGGGAGGGCACACTGCCTTCAGCAGCGTGTACACCCAATTGTGAGAGAGGCAGAGGCAGAGGCAGATGAGAGTAGGAGATGGGACCAAACGACCTGTCACCACTGTTTCCTCCCAGAAAAGGAGCTGAAGTTGCTTCGGCAGGAGAACCGGAAGAACACGCTGCTCTCTGTGGCCATCTTCATCCTCTTGACCCTCATCTATGCCTACTGGACTGTGTGAGCCTGAGATTTCTCCACTCAGCACACATTTCCCCTTGACTCCCTGGTCGTGACCAAGCAGGCCCTTCAAGCCTCAGAAGAACCAAGGCGCAGGAGCATTTGTCCCCACCCGACACCTGGGCAGGCCTCCTGTCAGCCTAGACCCCTTGCCTGCCTTGGAGCCTGGGTCTCCAGAAGGACTTTGTGCTGGCTCCTCCCTCAGCCCCAGGGACAGGCAATAAAGAACACACAAGCTGCTCCTGTCTGCTGAGTGAATGTCATGGTCTGACTGGAGCCAAGGGACAGTGGGGGCAGCTCAGGAATTTTAAGGAAGAAAAGCTGCTCAAGGGAAAGCTCTCAGCTTAGAACTTAGGAGGAGAAAAGGGGCTGTGAAGGTGAGCCCCCAGGTTACATGAGGAATAAGGAGACAGCATGAAGCACTTTCTAAGCCAAAACTGCTGGGGGCCACCTCTGGGGTGTGGGCAATGCTTGGGCTGAGAGGTGAGCACTGCACCTCCTGTCTGCCAGGTACATGGTCTTGCCCTGCAGTCAGTGCCACTGCCTGTAACTAGGGCAGAAAAAATGCAGCCTGTGCAGCCAAGGGTGAGTTGGGGGCTTGAAGTGGTTGTATGGGGTCCCATGGGAGCAGAGAGTGCATCCATCTTCAAGAGGCAGGCAGAGCTGGTAAGGTGTGGCAGTGACCAGTCAGCCTTCCAGCAGCAGTGGCCACTCATGCAGGGTTTGCAGGGAGCAGCAAGGAGCACCTGTGGCTCCTGAACACAGCCCCAGAGCTGGTGTGCAGTAGCTCCCACCCCCTCACAGCACAGGAGCCGCGATGGTCAGGAATGGAGGCTGGGGTGAGGCAGAGCACAGCAGAGCAACCAAGAGGGTGAAGGGCCTGGGTACCCAGATTATACCCAGTGAAGTGAAAACAAGGAAAGGAGTTGCCCCAGAACTAAGGCTGTGGAAGATCAAGGATGGACCCTCTGGGCCAGGGTGAAGGAGCCAAGTGAAGTGCAGGCGGGCTCTAAGAGGGCAGCAACTCAGGAGTCACAGATCTGGTGGAGAAACTCTAGCTGGGAGCCAAAGGGAACCATCAGCTCCTGCACGTCCCCACCCTGGAGCAGGCGCACAGGGGAGATGGGCCTGGGGTCAGAGAAACCATCTCTCCCTCTCTTCTCCAGTCTAGTGACACTAATTGGTCTGACACCTCTGTTATTTTAGTCACACAGACTGATCCTGCATTATCACAGTGCCACCATGGAGCGAGCAGGTGTGATTTATGTAAGGGGGAAGGTGCCTGCCTGCCCCTCTGGGCTGTCAGTTCATTCATTCTCCAGTCCCTGCTTCTGACTCTTCCTTGGGCCTCCTCTCTGGCAGCAAGGAGCATCCCTGGGAGCCTGATGGAGCCCAGGATCTTGGACAAACACTTTCCTCTTCAAGTACAGCTCCCTGCCCTTCACCTCCAGCCCAAGCTGTTTCACCCAAGCCAGACTGCAAACCACTGAGGATAAACAGCAGCAGCCCCAGCACAGAGCAACACAGAAATTAAAAATATGTTTATCTTTAATGATCCAAGATTCTGCAAGACACACTGATAGACCCAGAATTGGGTGGAAATACAGCAGCTCAGCAGTGCTGCCAAACCTAGGGCTGTGCGGGAGGAATGCTGGCTGGAGACCCCAAGGTGGAGTCCAACCTCCTAGGGAGCCTCCATGCCCTATCTCCGTGGACACCAGTCACACTGGGATGGGACCCAAGGGAGCTGTATGAGCATCTGAGAGGTATACCTTCCCATCACAAACCACCACAGTCGCCCCCAATCCAAAGCTGCTGCCCAGCTTCCCCTCTTCCCCCTCCACCAAGATAGAGGAAATGAAGTGACCACAAAAGGACCAACAAAAGCAATTGTACCTTCTGCTGGGGAAGACAAAGGGGGTGTTAGGGTGGCAATGGCAAATGGGGGTGCCATGATTGCCAGAGGGCTAAGTGTGACCCAACCCCAGAGGTACCCTCTGTTACAGTGGGGCCACTGCTGCTAGGGCACAGAAAACGGCAGGTTTTCAAGGCTGCTCTCTCCCCCTTCTAGAGCTGCCCAAGGTTCATATAAAAAGGGGATGGGAAATCTCTTGGACATAAACATGAGCAATGTCTTCATGAACATATCTCCCCAGGCAAGGGAAACAAAAGCAAAAATAGACAAGTGGGACTATATCAAGCTGAAAAGCTTCTGTACAGCAAAGGACACCATCAATAGAACAAAAAGGCATCCTACAGTATGGGAGAATATATTCATAAATGACAGATCCGATAAAGGGTTGACATCCAAAATATATAAAGAGCTCATGCACCTCAACAAAAAGCAAATAATCCAATTAAAAAAGAGGAGCTGAACAGACAGTTCTCCAAAGAAGAAATTCAGATGGCCAACAGACACATGAAAAGATGCTCCACATCACTAGTCATCAGAGAAATGCAAACTAAAACCACAATGAGATATCACCTCACACCAGTAAGGATCGCCACAACCCAAAAGACAAACAACAACAAATGTTGGCGAGGCTGTGGAGAAAGGGGAACCCTCCTACACTGCTGGTGGGAATGTAAATTAGTTCAACCATTGTGGAAAGCAGTATGGAGGTTCCTCAAAAAGCTCAAAATAGAAATACCATTTGACCCAGGAATTCCACTCCTAGGAATTTACCCTAAGAATGCAGCAGCCCAGTTTGAAAAAGACAGATGCACCCCCATGTTTATCGCAGCACTATTTACAATAGCCAAAGATTGGAAGCAACCTAAGTGTCCATCAGTAGATGAATGGTAAAGCAGATGTGGTACATATACACAATGGGATATTATTCAGCCGTAAGAAAAAAACAGATCCTACCATTTGCAACAACATGGATGGAGCTAGAGGGTATTATGCTCAGTGAAATACGCCAGGCAGAGAAAGACAAGTATCAAATGATTTCACTCATCTGTGGAGTATAAGAACAAAGAAAAAAACTGAAGGAGCAAAACAGCAGCAGAATCACAGAACCCAAGAATGGACTAACAGTTACCAAAGGGAAAAGGAACTGGGGAGGATGGGTGGGAAGGGAGGGATAAGGGCAGGTGGGTAGAAAGGGAGCCTTATGATTAGTATGTATGTGTGGGGGGCACGGGGAGGGCTGGGCAACACAGAGAAGACAAGTAGTGACTCTACTGCATCTTACTACGTTGATGGACAGAGACTGTAATGGGGTATATGGGGGGGACTTGGTGATGGAGGGTGTCTAGTAAACAATGTTCCTCATGTAATTGTAGATTAATGATACCAAAATTAAAAAAAAATAAAAAGGGGGATGGGGCACAGGAAGGCTCTACAACCCCAGGAGGCAGTTAACATCCACACTAGGCTACCTGCATCTGTGTCTTAATGTGGTGTCACAGAGGTGGGGCCCACATGCCTCCCTTCCCGGCCTGCGGGACTGTCAAGAGGTCCAGGGCTGAGAACTCTAGGGAACACCAGGACAGGAGGTGAGAGGAGACGAGAAAATCTTCAACTTGGCAACAAAACAGCAAATTCAAAAAAACAAAACCTTGATTTGTACAGCAGCTGCTCCTGGCCAGCTCACGACAGTGGGCTTCCACCCACTCAGGGTTGGCCCAATAAAAAGGTGGGCAAAGCAGGGTGCATGCCACCCTCAGGGCAGTACACAGAACTCAGAAAAGTGAGTACAGGATATGGGAGCAGACCGCCCCTGCCGCTGACGTCCTCCACTGGCCCCTTGTGCCCCGGGCTCTGACCTCCAACCTGCTGGAGGAGCAGCATCCTGTATTCCCAGGCAGGTCTCCAGGGAGAGAGGTCCAGATGTCCCAGAAGGAACGTGTGAGTGTCCTCTGAAGGCCCCCGACTGAGTTCTGGGGAAGATGGGGAGAAGAGCCCCACCCCCAAGGCCAGGCTGCAGTGACTGCTCCCAGTCCCTTCCCAAGACGGGGAGGAACCAGCGCTGTGGGCCCCATGCAAAGCGCCCTGACTCAGGGCACAACGGGGCATCTGGCAGGGTGGGGTCCTCAGGCGCTGTGCGTCTGGATGAAAGAGAGGACATCCTCCTTGGACAACTTGTCTGGATCCTGGGGCTTCTGGGAGTCATGCACACGGATGCCATCCCCCCATTCCCAGAAGAGCCGGCCATAGTAGCAGATGCTGGGGAGGAGGAGAAAGAAGGTCAGAGGGCTGTACCCAGGTAAAGCAGGACCAAGAGGTCACCACCCTACCCCTGGCAACTATGCCTTAGCAGGTGGGTATTCTTAAAAGTCAGAGGTGGGGGATCTATGATTCCAATTGAGGGTCTTCTCTCTGTTACCAAAAGGTACCCAGAAGGCTCCAACTCCTGCCTACCTTCCAGAACCACTTTTCTTACAACCAAGCTGTGTCCTGAGGGGCAGAGCTGGGGCTCTCACCTGCCCACCACTGCTGGTAAGTCATGTAGCAGTGGCTGCTCCATGGGGCAAATGTCTTGCCTGGGTGGGCCCTTCACACCCAGGACTGCCAACTTTCCCAGCAAGTCCTGGCATGGCTCTAGCTGAGCATAATTGCTACCCAGACCCAGTCACACCCTGAAGGGAGCCACCATGCCCACCCTTACCAGGAAGAGCCCAGCAGGTGTGGGTGCCCCAAGAGGGCTGGCCAGTGTCTTGGCAGGAGTACCTGGGGCTGTGCAGGGACAGGCCCAGAGAAGGGCTACTTACTGAAATGGAGCAATGGAGTCTGCAGGGAGGTCAAAGGTAGAGATCTTGGTTTTCTTGTTGTAGAAGAACTTTCTTTTGAAGCTTTTGCTGAATCCCATGGTCCATGGTTCTGACAGCAAGAAGAGGGAAAGAAGCCCAGAAAGAACACAGAATTCCATGGGGGTAGGTCAGGCCAACATAGGGATATGCCTTCCTCCGCTCATGTTCTTCCACTCCCCTCCCAAAATGCAGGCAGAGAACAGCCTGTCAGGATGCAGCCTTCATTATCAGCCCAAAGGGGCTCCAGGAGGATGAGGATAATCACTTAACAACCACACCCCAGTCCTGCCAGCCTGTCTGCAACATATCTCTGGGACCCTGGCAGAGGGAGCAAGAACTCATTCAGAGGGCACCAAAGAAAAAGGACTTCACAGGGGATGTAAATGCCAAGCTTAACTTTCCAGATATGCTGCCTATTGAGAAGTCCCTTTTCCTGACATAAGGGCCCTGTGTGCACATACGAGTTGGGCTCCTCTTGCCCCAGCCCTAATCCAACCCCCAGCACCCCAAAAAGAACAGAAGATGCTCAAGGAACACAGTCCCCTGCAACATGTACTGAAAAGAAATGCGAGCCTGGCTGCCACCCACCTAAATAGGGAGCCCTTAGATCTGGCCCAGGCAGGGTCTGGGCCAGTCACCTTGGCTGGGGGTGAGGGGGCAGGGAACACTCACTCATCACCCACCATTCACTGTCCTGACGATGTAGAGGCCAGTGGGCACAAAGTGCCGGTCATCCCGCCCTGTGTAGCTGAGCTTCGGTGTGCCACTGGAGCCCTTGATGATCTTCATTTCTAACCTGATTGCCCAAGCAGGGGTACAAAGAGGACATGTGAATGCGTTTGAGTGTGGGAGAGAGAGAAAGCCCTAACATTAGTCTGGCTAATATCAAAACCACACCAACAACAGCCTTTTACAAAGCTAGACCTAAGAAACTGAGGTAGATGTAAGTTGTTCCAGGCCACACAGTGAGTGAGTGCAGTGTAGGTCTAGAACTCAGCCTCTGAACTCCAACCAAGCAATGGAGGCAGGGCAGTGACAGATGCCCCACTATGTGGCTGCTGTTTGGGGGGCTTCAGGGTGACACCAATCCAAGTAAGATGTGAGACCACAGGCACCACTGGGTCTTCAGCCCACCACCCATATCACTGTGGCTACTAAAGAGTTAAGACAGGCATACTGCGACCCAGCCCAGCTCCCTGGCCATAGGAGCGCATACCCAGGATGAGACCCACAGACTGAGCACCCAGCACACTGCCAATATGAGAATGCAGTTATGACCACTCCACCCCTCCAGGCTCAATCTCTCTCAGCACCAGGAGCTGGGATTTATAGTGTTTCAAGCAGCTTGCTGCTCTGCCCCTCACAGGGACAATCATAACTATTACAGCATCACTGAGACCGTATTTCTGTCTGACACACACCCGCCCTGCTCCCCTCCTGACAGGATGCTGAATCAGCTCTCAGTCAGGGGCCTCTTTGCTATACTGGAGTCCCACTAAGGCAAGGGAGGTGGGGATAAAAGTGGCCTGGCAGAGCCAACTCACCGCCCTACCTCTTCAAAAATGCTGGACACTTCCATGCCTCCTACCCCAAGTCCTCCAATCCTGAGCTACGCTGGTTGAGTCACTCACCTGACAAAAATCTTCTCCATCTCCTCCAGCCTGTATACCTCTTTCACCCTGTGGATAGAGGAATGGAGAGAGGAAAAAGGCTTCCTGGGGAGACATTCTTATCCACACAACAGCTGGCAGGCTGGAGACTGCCTATCCTCGCACTCTGCATGGGGCTCCTGTACCACCCAACCCACCAAGAATGAGCCTGTTGCACTGCTGTCCTACACAGATGAGTCCTAAGTTTCAAAGTTGCAAAGCACCCCCTGGGGCCTACCCCAGGGCAACTGGAGAACACAATACAGTTTTGGGAAATGGAAGGGAGAAAGAAAGAAAGGTCTGGCAGACAAAGATTCTGCCAGCATTCCTACCAGGTCACCATCACTGCCACCAGGTTCAGAACACGAAGGTCCAGGCTCTTGACCAGTTCTGGCTACATGGATTTTAGGCCCCACCCCACCCCCCAACCCCTCACCACAGCAGTTACTTCAAAATAATCCTGACAGACCTACTACCATAGGAAGTGGGGCCCCTACCCAGGGTATAAGGCTCCTGTTTGATTCCCAGCCCTCCACTTCTGGGGCCCCCGAACATGCTTTTGGAACTGCTACTGAGTAAGGTTTCCAGAGACCCAACAACCAGACCATAAGCAGCGGAGGCAGGGTCCCTGGAAGCTGTGCCTTGGGACCTGGCAGATAAGACATTTTAAAACACAGGAAGCAATTGCTTTTAGACTTTCAGAAGACATCTGTAAAGTGTAGGCTCGTTACTGCATTTAATTTGAACTAACTTAAGTTATATTACAAATAATAAAAATGATTTTAATAAATGAATAGAGACACCTCAGTCTTTGGTCATATGAAAACCCAAAGGTAATAGTAACCTCAGACTCTGGCCCAGCCTGGAAAAGTATGTTCTCCAGCTGTCTGCTCTCTGACTATCATCATCCTCTCCTCCCTCAGGGACCTGGAGTTTTGACACTACCTAACATGGCAGCAAACCTTGGCCTTCTTCCTAAGCACCAAGAATCCCCCTCCCTCAAACCATTTTTCTCTTTTTCATGTTCAAAACACTGGCATTCCCAGAGCACCCTTTTCTTACCTGAAAACACTGAAACGGCCAGGTGATATGCTAATGATACCCAAGCGTGAATATGCAACTCAGAGGTGTGTTAGCAGCTCTCAGAAGCATATGCGTCTTAAATAAGGACACCTTAAACCCTAGGAATGAACCCTGTGGAGGTCTGCCCACTGTGACAGGATAGGGAGACACTCTGGGGCAAAGGAGCCAGCACCCCCAAACTGCTTATCAAGTACAGTCTTACCTCTAACACCAACCTTGCCTGGGTCCTCTCCAAAAAGCCCTCCCATCCCCCACAGGACAGGGAAGCAGACATTGGCCAGAAAGAAGCAATGGGGAAGGGGGATTAGGGAGGGAAAGACATATGCTCACCTGATGGGATTCATGTCAGGCCGACTGGGCTTGGAAACAGCTTTCACAAATTTCTCTGCAAGCTGAATTCTACAATCCAAACAGAGTCAAAGGCAAGCAAGGGTGCTCTCACCCACACTTCCACAGCACCAGCAGGAAAACACTACTGAATCTGCAGAAAAACTGCTCCAAGAGTCAGCAACCATGCTCCCCAAGAAGCCACAAGTACACTGACATCTTTGCACATGCCCTCTCCTCTGGATTCCAACCTCACATTTCACTACATCTTGGTTGGTTCTCCTGAGGTGTCCTTTCAGCCATGCTCATTCACACACTAGAACCTCAGTTATCTTTACCTTGGATGTCTGCTCCATCACTGCCTACCAGATACCACCACACACCCACTCAGATGGACCGATTTAAGAGGGATGTCAACATCGTGTGTGTATAAAACGTCCTTCCCTTTTGTCCCTTTCTAACAGCTGGTTAGGCGTCCACCCACAAACAAAGGTGCCTCTGTGGGAGTTGGAAGATCCAGATGAACTAACTTAAATGGGACCACCCAAGCATAAGACACACTCTTCAGAGATCTTCCCTCTCCCTATAAGGCCATTGTTTTGCTCAACCTTAACACAAACACTACCTCTGATCTGAACAGCTGTGGCAAAAATGAACTGTGCTATTACCTATGACAATCAAGGCCTAAGCCCTAGCAAACCGAAGTGCCAACACCAATTTCTCACCCTGCTTGGAACTAGCCAGTGGATGGCGGAGGGAAACTCTTAAGGATGTCCTTAAACATAGAGGGCAAAAGTGAGGGGCCAAGCCTCAGAGGCTGCAGCCACACAGCTACCCTGTCCCACTCACCCTCCCTCCCCAGGGCCCAAGTCAGACCTTTGGTTAAAATGCTGCTCCCTCACATCACTGCCATTCAGCACAAGGACATCAAGGATGTGGATGGCACTAATCTTCCGCTGGGCCTTTCCCTGGAAGAACAAGTACACTGTCCACCCTGCCAGGGATCAGACTGAGCCCACTCTGCCCACTGTGGCATGCTGGCCTCCATTCTGCCTACAGACGGGGAAGGATAGGGCTCTAAACACAGGATACTTCTCTTGCCTGCCTCCCAACTGATGCTCAGCACCAGAATGGCCCAGACTTCTGGGAAGGCAACCATCTGAGGCTTTGGGTGATAAGCCCCTCGAGCCTCAAACCCAGTGAGGCTGCCAGCATGGTGATCCAGCCAGGGTACTCCAGCCTGGGCCTGACTTCCCACCCTCACCAGCTGTCCCCACTGACTATTCTGAAAATCACTGGTATGGCTATTAATACCCAAAACTCATGGGACATAACAAGTTACTTCTTTCCCAAGGGATCCCTGGTCAGAAACTAAATTTGCAACAAAAAAATACCCAGCTGATCCACAAGAGCCCTTGACGCAGAGATGATTGAGGTCTCCTCCTGCTTGTACACTGACTGTGGTCTTTCTTACCTAAATATACAGTGGCTTAGAGCAACCACTCAAGAATAGGAATAATTACAAAGCCTTCCACTGGCCCTGGGCCCTGTCAAGCACCACATCCAATGTAACCCATTTGACTGAGTGGGGAAAGGGCCAGGCTCAGCTGTGTCTCACTCCCTTAGCTGGCAGGACCAGAACACATGATTGAACCACCTCTGACCTCCCCTTTCAGCTCATGGACAATCTCCACAGAGAGCAGAGTGTCCCGGGGCAGCTCTGTCTTCAGGTCCAGCTTGACCCAGCGGTCTGACTGGCGGCCATCCCATGTGTAGATCTGGGACTTCTATGGGCAAGAGAAAGGACCAAGTCAGACAGGCATGGACGTTGAGGAGTGAGAAGCTCAGTTCTTGAAAGGGCTTTTGGCTGGCAGCTACAAGCTGATGGGGTCAGGAAATGTCAGAGGAAAATGTCCAGGAGAGTTTGTCAGTTATACTTCAGTGATGATAGTGCTGTCTTCCACTGCATCAGCAGAAGAGAAGTGGAAATCTGGCTCAGTCTTGATGGTAGGGAACAGGCCAGGGGAACTTTCAAATGGCCCAAGTCCATGATTAGTGGCCCTCAAGAAAGATCCAGCTTGAGGAATGTCTGAGACGGGTTTGGTGAAGGGTCCAGAGAACAGAGAAGGAGACAGAAAGTAAAAAGTGAAACAGATTAAGTCTGAGAGAGCACAGAATGTGAGGAAGAAAAGATAAAATTATAGAGAAAGACAAATCAGAGTGGAAAGAAAGAGTAATAATGACATTACCCAATTAAGTAAGATATAGAACTGCTAAGGCTTTCCCTTACCCCATTTTAGATTGTAATGGCCCTAAGGATAGATGGTGTGTTTCTAAGAGGGGATAACATGAGTGCTGGTGGTGTTGTAAAGTAATGGCTGTAGGGGCTTAATCCAGATTAGCCTGCTACCACCCTATTAGTCTAGAAGCTCGACATCACAAGAAAAAAGGTAGTGCTCCCTTTAGCAATGCAGAGAGATGAATAAGCAATACGTGAATAAATGAAAGAATGGATGAATGAATGACACCTGGCTAATTCAGAGGAGGAAAGGAAGTGAAGTTTCGAGAAATACCTTCCCTGGGGTCAAAGCCCCAGTTCCACGGTGCCAAGAGCACACACACCAAGTGAGGCAGGCAGCTATCCTGCCACAGACAGAGGGCAAGATTCCACCGCCCCAAGCTGGGTAAGAAGCCAGCTGCAGACTTACCCCCAGACCAATGAGGAACTTCTGTTCGCTGCCAGACACCATGCAGCGGTAGTCAAGCACAGGGCGGATCTTCTCCAGGGTTTTGGAAGTGAGCAGTGTGGGCTTATAGCTGAAGATGTCAATCTCAGTGCCCTGCAGCCCCGGGTCAGAGAAAACACGGCTGGGTTGGGGGAATGGAGAGGCGCTCAGTAAGGGTGCCTCTATGGGGAGTGGGGTAGGCTGGGAGAAATGAGGGACCAGAAGCACTTGCTGTCTCCTGCAGTTCCTGCTCTACCTAACCATGTACTAAATGGAATCTAATTCCATCTGCCTGGAGGGTTCCTTTAGGACCTGTTGGGAGAGGCTGGGAAAGGAAAGAACACCAAGTCCCTGAGTACATATCAATTTACCAGACCTATAAGGAAATGTCACCAGAATATAAAAGCCATCCCTTCAATAAAATTGAAGGCAAGGACTTGCCAGCAGTTGGTTTGAGAGCAGTGAAGTAATCTCTCCACCCCATTCAGAAGAATGTACACAAGCTATTCCTCTGAGGCACCTTGAATCTCATTCTCCAGTCCCCTGACCCCACAAAACCAGCACAATGGCCCATGATCTAGGCTAGATTTAAATGATGCCCAGGGAAAAGCTGGAAGTCAGGTGTTGAAAAAACAGGGCAGATTTCCAAAGACCAGCTCACCAGAAACAGGATAAGGAGCCTAGGGTTAAGGCAGCCCCTCTTGGCCCTCAGTTCAGCTACTCTGCCTTAATCATCATCACACATTTCATGTTCCCACTGCAGGCAAATCTTATGGGACCATGAACTTGCCAGGGAGTGATAGCACCACCCTTTGGGCAGCAGGAATGCTGAGAACACACACCTAGAGCAAGAATCTCAAGCAGCCTGATAGGCTCTCAGAGAACTCAACAGCCTACACCAAAGACTCCCGCCTCTGGTGGCCTCAGCCCAGCTCCTCAAAGCCCAGGTGGTGCCTCCACAAGCCCTTGGGAGGCTAGGCACCTGGAGCTCTCGGTGATACACCTTCCCCACCTAAAATTAAGTTTCTCTAACTCTTCATTTTCATCAGATACCAGACTTACCTGGATGAGCTCAAAGAACTTGGATTTTGGGTCTGAAGAAGAAGGAGCAACTCGAGCCTGGTCTGGGATCTGAAACAAGAGCTTCGATTTTCAAACATGCTTTTGACCAAGGCTGTGTGTGAGTGAGGGAATAAGCTCAGACTGGGGAAGAGGAAACGGCACTTAACAAAGGAGGCTAGAAAGAGATGAAGGTGAATAATTCAGTCTCCGCTCCCTTTCAGGCACTTGTTAGAACACCCCAAAGGCCCTTTCCTTTCTCTTGGGCTCTCTGTGGTCAATGTTGCTTCACAGGGCCACCAGCAGCAAAATGAGACCTGTTCACCCTCCACCCTTGTACTTTCTGACCCAATTACAAGGTCAAACTGACGGTGAAAAAAAGGGCCAAGGAGGTAACTCCCAGCAATGCTGAGATATCCAGTTCTGGAATGCTGTAAGGGTAGGCAGATATTTTCATGCAGGGGAAAGGCCTAAGGTGGCAGTGTTGGGAGTCAATCCCATTCTTTCCTACAATTTCCCTGCCAAGGAGCAACAACAGGCTGGGGATACACTCACCCCCCAAAGTCGGAGGCACTCTTTCCGGATCTCTGCCTGCCGAGGCTCACTCAGGGTCCTGGGAGAACAAAGCCAGGAAATAATTAAAACTTCCAAGAGGTACAAGGAGTATTCTTCCTGTGTGGCCCTCAGAATCCCAGAGGAAGACCACATGGATGAACATGTGTGTGCACACACAGGCCATGTTGCCATTAGCCCAGAATGCTTATAACACATGACTCTCCCTCTTGAACATGGGAGTTCAGATGTATACAAAATGGGATGATCTCTTCCCACCACAAAGGGAAGGGAGGACAGTACCCGCCCTCCTAACCCCCCTGAATGCCATGGTTCCCCACACACCCTTCTCCCATTACCTATCAGCATGCTCTGGCTCCTCCTCTGCTGATACAGGCCACATTAAGTCCATCTTGGTGGATGTAAATAACTATGCTCCAGAAAGCTAAACTAGCTTATACGTGCCCCCTCCCAGAGTTTTTCCTTGACCAGTACTACCTCTCCTCTCTTGATCACTCTACTCCATGTCCCCTGAACATTATGTGTTCTGCTTGCACTATGCTCCTGTACACACTCTGATGCACTGTTAGTAACTTTTCCTGCATCCCTGAGCTGGGTTACTCTTATCTGCCCAAACACAACATAAAGTCTTTTGAGGGCAAGGTTCATGCCGTATGTTTCTCTGGCATCCTTCATAGACCACGACAGAGTATGAGATTAAAGAGTAGACTATTTTAAATGTCTGTTAAAATGAAATAAATGGGAGCTCAGTGGAAGGAGCAAAATGAAAAGATCTTCCCCTGAAATAGGTGAATTCTGGGAAGTGGTCAGAACTCACGTGTCTTGAACAAAGGCATGGATTTTGGCCAGAGCTTTGATCTGAAGACTACAGTAGCTAGAAGAAAAAAAAAAATGATTCAATTTCAGGAGGATTACCAAAAAAAAGACAGCCCGAAGACATCAGGAGAGAAGTTTTGCCAGAACAGTGGCCATCTATATTTGGGAGAGGGGTTGGAGAGTTGAAAGAGAACCCCCTTGACCACACTCCAAAGCAGACCACATGGGGTCTGCTGAAGGCTGAGGGTAAAGCAGAAAAACTGAGTTGAACCCTCCAGATATATCCCTAGTCCTACTAAAAGGAAGGTTCTGATCTCATCCTTAAATATCTCAAAGCAGTGGTAAACTGATTCTAAATAAAACAACTAAGGCCAGATCCAGTTCAACTACTGACTAAACTGACTCAACCCACCTGTACTAATAGCCATCCTTTAGTTTCCACTGTCCTTTTACAAACAATGTCTGGCATTTAATAAAAATGTATGAGATGTGAGAAAGCAAGCAAATGTGATCCACTGACAAGAGGGAAAACAACCAAGTTGAACAAGACCCAAAGATGGTCCAATTGTTGAAATTATCAGATAGGTCTTTAAAGCTAACTGTGAGAAACAAGTTAAAAAATCAAATGGAAAAGGTGTATAAAGTGTATATGAAGATGGAGAATATCAGCAGAAAGCCAGAAACCATATTTTTAAGAAGGGGATTAAAAGGTATTATGATTAGCACACAATGTAGGAGGGTCATGAGGAAGGCAGTATAGCACAAAGAAGACAAGTAGTGACTCTATAGCATCTTACTACACTGATGGACAGTGACTGCAATGGGATGTGTTGGGGGGACTTGATAATATGGGTGACTGTAGTAACCACATTGTTGCTCATGTGAAACCTTCGTAAGACTGTGTATCAATGATACCTTACTATAAAAAGAAAAAAAGGAAAAGATTTTTAAAAAGCAAATAAAAATTCTAGAAATGAAAAATACATTATTAGAGATAAATAATGTTTTTGATGGGTTTATCAGTAGACTGAACATAGTAGAGAAACCTGAGGGCAGACAAGTCAACAGACAAACTGAAACATGAAGAGAAAAAAGTAAAAAAAAAACAAACAAAAAACTGGGGCATCTGAGTTCGGTGGGACAATAACAAACAGCTTAACATAAATATAACTGAAGTCTAAGAAGCAGAGAAAGAAAAGACAACAATACAGACATGAAAATAGCCAAGAATTTTCCCAAACTGATGACTGAATGTCCACAGATCAAAGGTCAAAGAACCCCAAGTGGAATCAATACAAAGAAAGCCATATATGAATAGATCATGGTCAACATGCTGAAAACAAAAGGTAAAGAGAAGATCTTAAAAGGAATCAAAGAAAAAGGACACATAACCTACTGGAAAACAATGACAAGAATAATGGCTGACTTCTCATCAGAAATAAGGAAGGCAAAGAACAATGGAACAATATCTTTTAAAGGGCTGAAAGAAAAACACTGCCAACCTTGAATTCTGTATCCAATTAAAATATCCTTCAGAAATAAAAGGGAAATAAATATACTTTCAAAAGATAAAAGCTGAAAGAATTAGTCTCCAGCAGACTTGTACTACAAAAATTGGCTAAAAGAAATTCTTTAGGCTGAGGGGAAATGATTCCAAAAAGAGACCTGGTTCTGCAGGAAGGAAAGAAGAACATCAGAATAGGTAAATATGTCTGAAAATATCAAAGACCTTTTTTAAAAAATTAATGCACATAACAGTGAGACAACGAATTTGACCGGATCTGTACTGTTGGAACTCAACCAGGAGTTGGGAGGGGTGCAAGTTGTAGCACTCCAAAATCTTATGACTATAGACTATCTACGGTTAAAAGAACATATGGGATGTGAACAGATCCCAGAAATGGGCTGCTTTAATTTGTCTGATGGTTCAAGTACAGTTGGACAATATCCATCATATCATAGATAAATTTTCACAAATGCCTAGGGTGCCTAAATGGTTTTCTTGGCTTCACTGGAGATGGATGGTAATTATAGATTTGCTTTGTTTATGTCACCGTATTCCTATTATGTTAATATGTGTGTGCAAATTAGTTAGTAGTTTAAAACCTATACATACTTAAGGTACTATACAAGAAGATATGTCAAAGAAATAATCAATCCTCCCAAGTTTCCTTCATATGCTACATCTATAGCTTTTCTTCTTCCTTCCTAATTACAACCCTTAAATAGAATTCGTGCCTCATATCGAATTTACCGAGTATCATAATTCCTCCAGGTGGTAAAGATACCTCGAGACAAGTGCTGGGCATAGAAGCCACAGGGCATAAATCTGCAAAGAAGTAAAAAGCTAACCTTTGCAAACAATATGGCTTCTCTCTCACTTACCAACTTTACATTTCCCTGTATGGCCCCGGAAGATGACTGGTTAGCCAGAGACGGGTAAGATTCCTCAAGGGAGGAACAACCTAAGACAGGCACAGTCGCAGGGGGGCCATCAGGTGAGAATTTGGGGATCAACAGAGGTGAGGCTCAGAACCTCACCCCCCCTGCTTTGAGAGAAATCTTCTGCATCCGTGGATGTCTTGCTGCCCTTGTCTAGCCTGGATTAATACTTAGTCCATAGGCACACACCTGATCATCTGATCATCTACATTTGCCTTCTTACAGCACTAAACTATGTTTTCTACCTTTATCTTGCATCTACCTACCACTTCAGCATTTTATTAAAAATAAAAATAATAATAATAATAGGAGAAATGTGGGATCAACATATAAATCAAGTACAAAAATCAAACGAATATTCATATTTGACCTGATTGTTTATAGTTCATAATGCGTGATCAAAACCGAAAGTTTCTGTGATGAATGCCCTTGTACTGTTCACCATGTAAGAATTTATTCACTATGTAAGAATTCGTTCACCATGTAAGAACTTGTTCGTTATGCTTCAGAAGATTGGAGACTGACGAGAATTAGGCTTGAGATGGATTAATGATCGTACATTGAGCACTGACCCCCCTATACTGAATTTTATTGTTGTTAACAACCATTTGATCAATAAATATGAGAGATGCCCTCTCAAAAAAAAAATTGATGAACATATGTAAGTGTATTTTTTAATCTCTTTAAAATACAGACTTTTGAAAGTAATATAAAGTGGGGCTTATATAAAATAACACAAAGGCAGAAGGACTGTAAATGCTTTACTGTGGTAAAGTTCTTAGATTGTTCATGAAGCAGAATACTTTTTTGAAGATAAACCATGATAAAGATGCATATTGTAATCTCTAGAGTAATAACTAAAATATAACATAAAAGGCATAAAAAAAGAAAAAAAAAGCCCTAGGAGATAAAAAGGAATGCTAAAATATACTTCCCCAAAAAGGAGGGAAGAAACTGGGGAACAGAAGACAGGATAAATAGAAACCAAACAACCAAGATAGAGAATTTAAATCTAAATGTATCAATAACTACATGGCATGTAAATGTACCAAACACCCCCATTAAAAGGCAGAGACTGTCATACTAGATAAAAAGGTTAAGACCCAACTATATGTTTTTACAAAGACCAAGACAGGTTGAAAATAAAAGGACACAAGAAGATAAACCATGTAAATATTAAGCAAAAGATAGCTGATGTGGCTATATTAACACCAGACAGAGCAGATTTCAAGACAAAGAGTATTACTAAAGATGAAGCAGGATATTTCATAATGACAAAAGATCAATTCATTAAAAAGACAAAAGCAATCTTAAATATGCATATGACTAATAACAAAGATACCAGATATATGAAATAAAAGCTAACAAAACTAAAGAGATAAATCAATATTCATAGTTGAGGAATTTAACACCACTCTTTAAGCAACTGATAAAAAAAATATCAGTTAAGATATAGAAGATCTGGAAAACACTACGAATCAACTTGACCAAATTAACATTTATAGAACCCTTACTCAACAACAGCACTTGGAATATTCACCAAGATAGATCATGAGCCATAAAAAAAAAGCTTCAATAATTTCAAAGGACCAAAATCATACAGAGTATATTCTGAGTACAAAGGGAGTATATCTAATCAATACCCTGAAAATCCCAAAATATCCTACACCATATATCTGCATGATCCATGAATCACAGAACAAATCTTAAGGGAAATTTTTTAAATATTTGGAACTGTATAATAATGAAAGAGAAACATATCAAAATGTGGAAGATTCAACTAAAGCAGTCCTTAAAATTTAAAGCATTTAAATATATATGTAAATATATTTCCGTATAAATTTACTTAAATGCTATAAGTTAAAAAATTAAATGAAAGGAAATTATTTCCTTTATTCTCCTTACTTTGGCCTTAATTTGCCCTTCTTTTTCTAGCTTCACTGCTTTTTGACCCTTTCTTCTATATATATTACACATTAATTATACAGGGATTAATAAAGATAAATTTATATATCTATATATTTAAACCAGACAAGGACTTCAAAAGAACACAGATTTCGATATGAATATCCCTTATGAACACAGACACAAAAATCCTCAATGAAATATTTGTGAATTCAATATAGTAATATATAAGAGTGATACTCATGACCAACTGGAGTTTATCCAAAAATGTAAGATGCATTTACTATCTGAAAAATCACTATGTAATTCACTGCATTAATGGAAAAAAGAAGAAAAAAATTAATTTCTATGGATACAGAAAAAGTATTGGACCAAATTAAACATCCATTCATGATAAAAACTCTCAGGTAACTAGGAATAGAAGAAACCTCTGTTAACCTGATAAAGGACACCTACAAAAACATTGACAGCTAACATTATACTTGACAGTTAAAACATTTTATACTTAAAATCGAGAAGAAGGCAAAGATGTCTGTTCTCATCACTTCAACATCATACTAGAGGAATTAGTCAGTGCAATAAGGCAAGAGAAAAACAACTACTACATGATCTAGTAGTTCCACTTCAGGGTATTTATCCAAAAGAACTGAAATCAGTATCTCAAGAAGGCATCAGCACTCTCATGTTCAGTGCAGCACTATTCACAATAGCCAAAATGTAGAAACAACATAAATGTTCATTGACAGAAGAGTGGATAAAAAAAATGTGGTACATATGTACAATGGAATATTACCTAAGGCTTTAAAAATTCTGCAATACACAACAACACGCATAAACCTTGAGGACATCATGCTAAGTGAAATAAGCCAGTCACAGAAAGACAAATACTGCACGTTTCCAATTATACAAGGTATCTAAAATAGTCAAATTCATAGAAGCAAAATGTGGAATAATAGTTGCCAGGTACTGGAAAGAGGGGAACTTGGGGAGTTACTTAATCAAATGAGCATAAAATTTCACCTAAGGAGGATTAGTAAATAGTAGAGATCTGCTACACAACAATGTACCTATAGTCAACAATATTGTATTGTACACTAAAAAGTTTTTAAGAGGTTAAGTCTCATGTTGAGTGTTTTAGCACAATGAAATAAGAAATTTTAAATACTATTTAAAGACATACAAATTAGAAAGGAGAGAGTAAAATATTTACAGAAGACATGATTATGTATATACAAAAGCTGAAGGAACCTACTAAATTACTAAAATAAGCATTCTCACATAGTCAATACATAGTAAATATACAAATTTCAGTTGTATTTCCATATACTAGCAACCGAACAATTGAAAATGAAATTTAAAATACCCTTTACAACAGCATCCCAGCCCGTAAAATTCTTAGGTATAAATTTAACAAAAGGTATGTAAAACTTCTATACTGAAAGCTGTAAAACATTGCTGGGAGACACTGAAGAACCTAAACAAATGGATTTTTTTGGCTTCTGGAAAGGAAGATTCAATATCGTTAAGATGTCAATTTTCCCCAAACTGACCTATAAATTCAATGTAATCTCCATCAAAAATCCAGCAGGCTTTTCATAGAAACTGACACTGATTCTAAAATTTATATGGAAACACAGGAAACCTACATTAGCCAAACAATCTTGAAAAAGAAGGACAAAGCTAGAGAATATACACTACTTGACCTCATGACAACTTTTTCAAGGTATAGTTATCAAGACAGTATGGCAAAGAACTGTCAGACAGATTAAGGGAACAGAACAGAGTGCCCTAGATAAAAGCACACATATATAGTCAAATAATTTTCAACAAACCTGGCAAAGCAATTAAATGGGAAAAGGAAAGTATTTTCAACAAGTAGTGCTAGAACAACTGGATATCTATAAGGAAAAACAACTTGAACCCTTACATCACATTATACACAAAAATAAATAGATGTAAACATATAAGCTAAAACTATAAAACTTCTAAATGAAAACAGGAGAATATTTTCATGACTTTAGTGTAGGTGGAGATTCTTTTAGAGAGGAGAACCACTAACAAAAAAATTTTGATAAATTGGATTTCATCATCAAAATTTAAAACTTCTAGGTATCCAAATTGAAAAGAAATAAGTAAAATTATCTCAATTCCCAGATGACATGATCTTTTATGCAACAAAGATTCCACAAAAAACTGTTATAATAATCAAATTTAGTCAACTAGCAGGATACTAAAATCAACACACAAAAATCAGTCACATTTCTATACACTAACAATGAGCAATTCTTTTTTTAAAAGAGGAAATAATAAATTGCTTAAGAATAAATCAATGTAGTGAAAGGCTTATACACTGAAAGTACTGAAAATATACTGAAATGCAAATTAAAACCACAATTGATATACTACGACCTACAACTAGAATGGCTAAATGGAAAAGACTAACAATACCAGATGGTGACAAGGATGTACAGCAAACAAAACCCTCTGGAGAGTATTAACCAGTATAAGCACTTTAGAAAACCATATAGAATTATTAAAAAGTTAAATACACACCTACCCTATGACCTAGAATTTCCACTCTTGTATTTATCTAAGAGAAATGAAAACATTTTTCCACCAAAATCAATATACAAGAACGTTAAGCAGTTTTATACTCACAATAAACCCAAGCTGGAAATATCACAAGTATCTATCAACAGAAGAATAAATTATGGCATATGCCTACAGTGGAATACTACTCAGAAATAAAAAAGGAACAAACTAACACAATATGAAAGAATTCCAAAAAATTCAAAGTGAGGAGAAAAAAAATGCAGACAAACAAGTACAAGTAAATACATATGATTCCATTTATATAAGTTCTAGAATAGGCAAGACTAACCTACAATGATAAAAATCAGAAGAGTGGTTACTTTAGGGTTGACTAGGTAGGGGCACAAAGAAATTTCCTGAAGTTATGGAAAAAATGTTTTTAACCTTAATAAGGATGTACATGGATATATGCATTTGTCAAAACTGATAAGTGTACATATAAGACCTACATTTCACTTACAGAATAATGCCTGTTTTTTTTAAAAAGTAAAGAAAACTAATCTCTGATTCATAAAGATATATACACCACTATGTTTATCACCACACTATTTGCAATAGCCGAGATATAGAAGCAACCTAAGTGTCCATCAGTAGATGAATGGATAAAGATGTGTGTATATACACAATGGAATATTATTCAGCCATTAAAAAAAAGAAATCTTGCCATTTTCAACATCATGGATGGATCTAGAAGGTATTATGCTCCGTGAAATAAGCCAGGCAGAGAGAGACAAATACCGTATGATTTCACTTATTTGTGAGATATAAAAACAAAGCAAAAAGAACAAACAAAACAGTAGACTCATAGACACTGAGAAGTGACTAATGGTTTCCAAGACAGAGGGGTTGGGACAGGTATAGGGGGAGAGGGGTAAGGGGATAAGGCACAATAATTCACAATCACAATAGAAGTCGATCACGAGGACCGTTGAACCACTGTAATGTACATTTGAAACAAACGTAAGATTGTATATTAAAGACACTTTAATAAAAAAGAAAGTAAAACAAACTAACTGGGTATAGGGTTGGTTAAACACTGTGCTATTGGGAGCATTGAGAAGTCCAGTTCTGCTGTGCATCCATACATACTCATAGCAGAGAGCATTACTATCAAGATGGGGGAGCTTATGTGGCAATGCTGTGGACAGTTAAGATACCATGAGTTGATGGATAAAGATTTCTTCTCCTTTTATAATTCTCCAGAGCCACCTGTACCTTCCAACTTCTCTGGGAGGCTTGGGGTTGTACCCTTAGAAATGAGCCTTCCAATAGGTATTAGACCCCTAAGAAAGCACTTCTGCTGATTCATTACTACTATACAACTTTCCAATCTATCTCAAAAAAACTTTTCTCTAAGGCTTGCACACTTTGAAAGCTGAGCCAACTCTTACAACTTTAAATTATTACCACTAACAGGAAGGGGGGAAAAACAATTTATTAAGGCAAAAAAACAAACCAGCATTCAGATCACCCATCTGGGGAACTCATGAATGGGCAAAAGCTTTGGTACAAGAAACTTCCAAACCATGTTGTACACTTGCTTTCCAGCCATCTCCTGCCTCCAAACAGGGGACTTTTTACAAGGCAATAACCATGACCGCCTTTTATAAACAGAAGCATCTAAAGGCAAATTACTCCTGCCTCCAGGGATACAAGACAAAGCCATTCTCTGTCAGGTTTCACTGTCATACTCAGGCTCCCACGGGCAGGGCTATGCTGGCCAGATTCCCACCACCCAACCTCAGCACAGGGCACTGGTAGCAGGAAAAGAGTCCCCAAGATAGCCAAAGTCCCAGGGAGTCCTGGAACAAGTGGACCAATCCCGGTTACCAATTTTTAGGGCTGACAAAGTGATACCCAGAACCATTTATTCAGTCCTTCATTCTCTGATCTTGATACCCCAGTGGTTCCAGGAAAAAAAAAAAAACACCTGGTTTGCTTACCTCTCGTTGGACCGCATCATGTAGTCAGTAAATTCATGGTCTCCCTTAATCACTTCCAAGGGGACCACAAGGTTGACATCAGAATCAGTGTCGCGCAGCTGGTTGAGTTTAATATTGACTGAGAAGAGGTAATCCCGCACATCATCTATGCCCACCTTCAGGCCCTTGCACACCACGTACCTACAGAAGATATTTTATCACTCCACTGAGCAAGGGCTTCTCCCCTACATTCCTCCTCCCCAGACTCTTTGTGAATCATGAAGCTAAACAGCCTTAAGTCTATGCACAAAGAACAGCACAGTCTGCACCGCAGAAGTTTACCTCAAATCCTTGTTTTGTGCTGTGCTGTATGTCTACTCTCTATGGCAGTGTTCTCAACTGCCCTGTGCCAGGCTGGCTGCATCACCATCACCCAGGGAATCTGTGAAGCTATAGACCTAACCATTCAGACTCTCCAAGAATGGGGCCCAAAAAACTGTTTTTAACAAGCCATCCAGCATTCAGGTTCGCTGCACCTTCTCTCGTACCGTGCATAAGCACTGCGTCCCATGTGGGATGCCAATATGCCCCTGGTTGGAGGCCCCCTTGCCCTTACCCAGCGTATATGCCTCCAAGTATCTCTTCTATTGGTCACCTTCTCCTTCCTGGGCCAAACCAAGGGTCCCTCACATAAATGTGGTGAATAAGGCTTGAGAAGGAGGCAGAGGTTAAAATGGCACATCCCAGAACCAACAGATCCAAATCCTGATTCCTCTTGGCTCTAATCACTTTTTTAAAGTCAAGGTTTTTAATGAAGCTTGAGCAATCATGCCAGAGATGCACCAGGATTTGCTATTCTGACACTTAGCCAATGAGTCTGATCAAAATGGAGAAGGACTCACCTCTCTGAGTTGGCAGGACGGCTGGTAATTGGCTTAAAGAGACATACTCGTTCAAAGCAGCAGTACAACAGGTAGATGAGCCCCACGCTGAATGGGGTGAACAGGTCAAAGGTTTTACAGATGAAGTGGCCTCCTGGAGTAGAGAGAAAACACCAGGAGTAATCAGTGGGTTCTAGTTCAGGAGGTGGGTAAGGTGTCTCCAGGAGTACATATGACAAAGTCCATATTTAATGGGCCCAAGTGCTAGGACCAGTAAAAGACAGGGGCAAATTAACGGGGAGAGTCAGCTTTAGAGGGGACTCTAGGGATTCTACAGCTTTTCTTTCCTAAATTTCTCATTCAGCCACCTGTCACCTGATCTAAGCAGATTTTTTTTTTAACTTTCCAAGGTACCCCTGTCATGCTCTTGTCCAACAGGGCCTCTAGTGGGTCCTGGGGTGGGGAGACAGCTGAGGAAACATCACCTGTCCGGACAACAGATAGTGCCATGAGAAACTGACAGAGCAGCAGCTGCTTGCTGAGGATCTCCTGAAGGTTCTCCTGCCCCTCCACTGAGAAGCCCTGAAATGAGAGCACAAAGACTGGGTTTGCAAACACAGTGCTAGGGACTAAAGAGCACCCCACCTCATTTTCACCAAGGTGTCTTGAAGTGTTTACATTCATCTCTGCCATCTAATAAAGATACAGCTGGATATTTGAATTATTTTGGCAAGGTCATATGGCTCATTATGGATGAATCCAATCTAGCACTAAGACCCAGGCCTAACTACCCGCCCAGTGTCATTCTCCTGTTCTATCACTCCTACAGGATGGAACCAAACCTGCTTTCCCAAGAAAATGGTCCAAAACCTTTAAAACTCGTGTGGAAATCCAAGGGAAGAGTAAGGCAGAACAGAGGCAAAGTAGTGGCTAGTCACAGGCCAACAGCAAGATAGAAAACCACACCCTGGTGAGTCCAACAAGACACAGCGAGCACATATGTATGAACAGTCTGCTTGGGCTCACTCAGCCACTGTGCTGACACTAAGCAGGCCCCAGTCAGGTGACAGGAGAAAAGTTAGCACAACTCTTGACAGCGACAGAAACCTCTGCTTCTTTGCTGACCAAGGCTTTGTTCACAAAACCCACATTCCTCTCCCAAGACCATGAAGGCTCTCCCTCCAGTTGACAGGGTGTTTGTTCAAAGAAAGTGCATTGCTATTCCTGGCATGGTCTCCCTCCCTATGAGATCCCAGCAGGGAGCAGAGAGCCAAGCTCACACTGAAGTTAAGGAGGCCCCTGGCTGGAGGAGGGGCAGAGGGGAGTTGTTTAATGGATACAGAGTTCACATTTTTCAAAATGATAAAGTCCAGAGATTTTATTTCACAACAGTGTGAATATACTTAACACTACTGAACTATATACTTAAAAATGGTTAAGATGGTACTTTTTATGTTATGTATTTTTTTCTCACAATAATACAAAGAAAAGTAAGGGAGGCTGGCCTCTGTTAAGCTGGCTCCAGCCAGGCCAGGTCTCTCTCAGTCCCACAAAGGTAACAGCTAAACAATTCAGCATTAAAACACGTAACAATGTCCTTCAGATTTATAAATGCTCCTCAAAATGCATGCGTGTTTATAGAATCAATCAAAAAAATAAAAAATAAAAGAAGCCCAGGTCACCAGTCTACATTGCCTGAGCAGAAAGACAATCCTGAATATGCCATTCTAGCTGCCACACTGCAACCTCAGCTTCCCAAGCACTACAAGCCTGCCAATCTGCTCAGCGTGGCAGCCCCTCCCTCCTCCTCCAGCCTCTATTCCTGCTGTTCCCTGCAGCGCACAGTGCTTCAGTAAGGCCGCAGCCTGCATATTCCTTCACCTTTCTACACCACTACTACTGCTCCAGGCCTCCCAAAGGACACTAGAGGCCTTTCTCACCTCTCATCATGTTCTCTGTCCCTCCCCTAGACTAAGTGGTGGCTGACTTCAGAAAAGACTACAGTAGCATCCCCTTTCTGGGTGAGAAGGCTGCAGTGGGCTCCCCTCTGTGCCTCAAGCTGCTGCCCAAGGAATGTGACTCCTTGAATTTCAAGTTGGATCAGCCACTGACAGGGCCTCCTGTGGACTCCCCTGGGCATCCATCAGCCCATCCAGAGGCTTATGATGGGCCATGTATAGACAGCCTCTGCCTGAAGCAGTACCCAGGTGACAAATGATGGAAATGTTCTTCCTGGCCAGTTTTGCCTAGTTTGTCTTAGTCATGGTCTTCCTCTCTCTGTTTCTCACAGCTAACCAAGGCCCTTTGAAGCTGGTCCACTTGCTCCAAGCAAAGGTGTCTACAACAGCACAGCTTGACAAAGCTACCATTGAAAATCCATATACCAAAAGAATAAAAAATACATCCCCCACTACCACCTTCCTGGGCAGTTGAAGGACCAAATAAAAATAAATTCTCAAGCCTACAACAAGATGAATTCTTAAAACATAACCCTATGGAGAGCAGGTCACCTACCCCATCAGCCATCAGAAAGTGGACACCCTTGCGGTCTGTGTTATCCAAGACAAAATTCCGAAAAGCAGTGACGTTCTCTGGACGGGTGATATCTCCATCTCCATCGATCCCACCCTCGCCTGGCAGGACACAAGATTCACATTCAGCTAATCTGCCCTGTGCAACCCAGGAGCTAGGACACAAGTTCTCTAGAGCTGTTAAACTATTTTGGCATGGTCATATGAGTCATTATGGATGAGAATATCTTCAAACACAGGTACCAGGTGGGCCTCAAGACCAAGAGAAAAGCCCCTGGGAAGAGCAACTCACTGCAGGACCCGTCCTGCAAGGCTGCCTTGCAGTGATGGGCCAGGAGGCAAAAACAGGGCCCTACAGTAATAAAGCAGAGTTCAAAAGTTCACCAGCTAAGTCATCAAATGAAACAAAGGGTCTTCTTCAAGACTGAAGTTGTGCTTAAAGCACCTACATGTAGGAACCAATATCAATTATTAATAAGGACTGTTAAGAAAGGACTTAGGATTTGCTACCAAATCACAAGAGAGAGCAGAGAGGACTGCTGCCAGGCTGTAGAACTGTTACCAGTGTACTCCATACCAGTGCATGGATCTGGAGATGGGTGTGGGGTTTGCAGTTGTTAATTATCTTGCCAATTCTCAACCAGAGACCAGGCAGTTTTATTATCTCCTATCACCACAAGAAAGGAAAGGAATAACTAATATGACTTTGATCAGAGTTTGCAGTACAGTGTTTAACCTGTACCCTGCAGGCCTGGGGTAAAAAGGGACAGTGTGGAGGGAACTCAGATGTCATGACAAGGACTAGGAACCCAGGTTGAGACCTAGGAAAGAAAACTTGGCTCTCCCTTTTTTTTCAATTGACTTTTTATTTTGGAATTATTGTAGATTTACAGAAAAGTTGCAAAGACAGAGTTCTCATATACTCTTCACCTAGACTCCAGTTCTGTTAACATCTTACATTGCATTTGTCAAAACCAAGAGACCATGCTTCTGACCTAAAGTCCCACAGACGACTGACCCTCATAGCCCCTTACCATAGTAGGGTTCAAAGAGCTCACTGGAGGCCGAGTAGAAGTCCTCCAACTTGAAGTCATTAGGGCCCTTCAGAGTCATCCCAAATCCCTTTGCGTGCCACTTCTTCCTCCACAGCACATACTCTGAGAAACCACCTGGGCCTGCGCAGACATCAGCAAAATATAGAAGCTCGGCTTCCCGGTCCTTCACCAGGGGCTTCTGCAAAGGCAAATGGAAGACAGGGGAGGAGGGGGGAAAGCTGGCTCAATGGGGAACAGGAAGGAGAATGCAGGGGATGTAAAATAAGCTTTTCAGTAAGCACAGTACAGAGCTCCCACCAGGGCCACAATACCCAAGAAATGTATCCTCTATGATCACTGCCCTCTGGAATTGCCCATCCCCACCTCAAAATACCCCTGGATGCCTTTCACACCACCAGGCCTAGTTCAGACTCCTAATAAAAATATCACCAGGCATCTGAGTGTGTATTTTCTATTTCTCAGAGTCTTTTCCTTATTATATCCTGCCTTATAAGAGTCCTACTGAGCAGAACAGATGCTGTCCCCTACATTACAGATAGAGAAAAGGACACACTAAGATACAAAGTAACTTGTTCAGCCAGTCCACTACAAAGCTAAATCAGAATCCAGTCAGCCTGATGGATAGACTCAGGCCTTCCTGTCCAACCCAAGTCTGGGGGACTCCAACATCACCCCCTCCCAACCACAGGGCCTACGTTTCCATACCACAGCCTCTCCTTCCTTTCTCCCATTTCTCCTTAGCTCTCCCCCTTTTTGTTCCCAATTAACATTTTGTTTTAAAATTATTTTAGATCTACAGAAAAGTTGCAAAGACAGAGATTTCATATATCCTTCACCCAGAGTCCAGTTTTGTTAAAATCTTACATCGCCATCTGTCAAAACAAAGAAACCAACATTTGTTGTAAACTTTAACTGAACTCCAAACTTGATTCAGGTTTCACTCATCTTTGTACCATTTCAGGATCCAATCCAAGATACCATTTAGTCTCCTCCTTTCTTATACTCTCCTCTTCTCCTGCCTTTGTCCCTCTAGCCAGGGACCTGGAATGGTGAACAGCTGGGAGGTGACAAGGCAGAGAGGGAAGGAGACACTGCTTCCAAGCAGCCCTCAGAGCATCCACTCACCTCAAGAACAACTAGATTACAATAATCACTTGCATTTTTATTGGATTATAGTTTTGGTTATAGTTTGATCAAGTAGCTTTAACTCTTAATCTAAAATTTATGCTGAACTCAGCACTGGCCCTTACTGTGTGTTTGTCTCTTCTACACACCTAGAGGGGCCCTAGAGGGCAAATTCTACTGGTCACTACCCTTCACAGCAGAGGGGATTTACCATCTGCATTGGTGAAAACAAGTGGTTGAGCTCTAGAGCAGGTGACTGTAGAAGACCCTGATGACATCCACCAGGAAGGGGCTTAGGCAGCTCAGCCCTCCCTCTCTACAGGTTTGGCATAGCTGAGTGTTGTCCAGAGTTCTGTAACTGCTAGATACAGATCAGAAGGCTTTAGGGAAAAGAGTTATAAGAGAAAAATGGAAATATTAATGTTCACAACCCAGTCACTTTCTTGGTGACAAGGCCTTGCCTCTGATGATAGCTATCTAACTTTACCAAAACAGTAAAAAAGACTCTGGAGAAAGTGACTTAGCTAAAAATAAACTTCATCATCCTGTGACAAGCACACCCAGGCATGCTGGGATATATCCATTCTTTTTCCCCTTCCCCACCATGCTACCCCAGCATTCTTTGTTCCTGAGCATCAATTATTCATATTTTTGGATTATTTTCATTTGCACACCAAAAAAGACTTAATGGCATTTGCTGAGAACATTTCGTAGCACTTCCAGGCTACAAAAGTGGTAATAAGACAGGGGTCAAAAGTTTAAGGCCTCCACACTCTGGGAAGAGGGAAACAATGTTCCTCACCACTGGCTGTGCCCTGGCCCCAACTCCCACCTCTCCAGGTAAGCCGTTGGCCCAAAGGAAGACAGGAAAATGAATCAATTAAAGCATCTTACTTCCTAAAAGAGGGCATAAATATGATCTCATTCTGTGATTTCAGGACATGTGGCCTTCACAGGCCATGGCCAAAAGGTCTTTTCATAAACAGAACAGCTGGGGTTCTCACCTCTGCCACTTATTGGCTGTGCAGTCAAGGGCAAGCACAAAATTTATGCCTTTAAGCTTGAGCTTCCTCAACTGTAAACTGGAATGAAGGTAGGTTATTTCTCAAAGCTGTTGTAGGATTAAATAAAGTACCATATGTCAAAGACCTTTATAAACTATAAAATACTAAACAAATGTAAGATGATATTATATTTAACTAGATCAACTTCCTTGGAGTCAAAAATCTTGTCCTTTCCCATCTTTTTCTCTTTCCAATGCCTGATGTAGTAATAAACACTCAGTGGGCACTTTGTAAGCACTAATTTCCTCTAAGATAGCACTAAAACTTAAAGATCTACATTCAGTTTTTGTCTCATTATGCTTCACAGTGTTTTCTTACCTCAACTATATCCCCAGGCACATAAATCTCTCACACAATGTTATGGTTTATTACATACTTCCATATCCCCAAAAAATCTAAATTCCCTTCTTTCCCTTGTCTCTTCCCAGTTTTTGTTTACAATTTCTTTAGTTCCCTACCTTAGTCTCTTTTCTCCTTTTACCACAACCTGCAGAACCAGAAACTCCCTGATAAACTTCAGTCTCCCACCACTTTCCACCTACAATCTCTCCACAATTCCCCAAACTCCAAGTTCTCCATGCTCTTATTCTATCATTTGCTTGATCCAAGAGCCACTGAAACCCTAGCAAACGTGGGTGTGTGCCTGGACTTCCAGCCACTCCCACCTCTGCTGGGAATGGCTCTAAAATATCTTTGCTTGACTGAAAGACACACCAACCCTGCTGGGCTCAGCTGTCACTCTGTTCCTCAGGGGAAAAGAGAAGAAAAGAGAGAAGAAAACACTAAGGGCTGGAAAGAAATCACTTTCTATAGTGGAGAGCCAGAGAAACATTTCTGAAAGGGCAATTCTCCATGGCCACTAACAATCAATTCAGGTCAAGAAGCTGCCTGAAGTGTTACAAACACGGCTGCCTTTTCCTATGTAACTAACATTTACACCCTCAACCTGAATGGTACAACCCTGGTGCCCACTTCATTTTCATGACAGCAAAAGACAATAACCAGATACCAGATGCTGAAGGCATTTACATTCAAAAGCCCAAAATGACACTGTGACTTCCCATCAGCTTGACAGAGCTCCTCTGCCAGGCAGGGGGTTAAAGGAAATCATTTGGTGCTCAGAAAATTAAATCAACATTATATCAACCTAATTTTCTCAAGATGCTAATTCCAAAAGCCCTTTTATGCTGCCTGCTGGTACTAGAAAATGGGGAGGAGACCTGGGAGAGAAAAATGACTAAAAGCTGGAGGGGTCCACGTGCCAGTTCTGCCAGCATGGGGAAAGCAGTTAGGGAGGTGGAGCTGAAACATTAAAGAACCTGGAAAATAAGTTTCTTTAGCAAGTGGATAATCAGGGGCCTAGTGGAAGGAGGGTGAGGAAAGCAGAAAACAGGCTTGGGAACAGCTGGCTCCTGGCCCCTTTACTGTCAAAGAGAACTAACTTTCTAGCACTAGAAAAATGCTTTGAAACCTTGAAGGAAACACTAGAATGAAATTTCATTTTTTCTTTCTCTGTCATTATGGAGGATCTGTATTCAGAAAAATGAAATGTACCAGAGTAGAAAATCATTTTGCTCTACCACTTTTTGAGAAGGGTCCAAGTCTGATAATTATGATCCTACACTAATCTTGTTCGGAGAGGCAGAAAGGGAAGGTGGCCACACCTGAAATCACAGATCTTAGAGCTGGAACAAATCTTGAGAGCCTTTTGGTCCTACCTGAGTCTCTGGCAGATTAGGAGTGCTATTTCAGAGATGAGGCAGCTGAGTCCCAAAAAAGGTATGAACTTAGACACCACTTGCAGTGTGTACTCCCTGCCCCTCCCCACACTCACTCCACCCCCAAAACACACACACCCCACATTGAATAACTCAGCCTAGATTTTCGGATGATACCGATTTTAAATAGACCAGTGAAAAAGGACCCAGATGCCCACATTTCATTCAATAGTCAAACCACATTTCCCAGGTCACTCCCCTCTCATACCAGAAATAGCACCTAAATCAGAGGATGTCACAAGTTTTGATTTGGAAAATAAGCTCACTGTAAAGACTATGTCATCCACAGTAGGAAGGTGGCAGGCAAAAGCTCCCCAGTGTCAACTGGCCTCCACATGCCAATGAGCAAAGAAAGGCTTTACAAACACCCCAACCCTGCACCCTTACCAGCTCTGAAGTCCATAAGAATGTTTGGAACCTAAGCATCACAGCAGGGAAGGGATCAAATCTAAGTCAAAGTTTTACTCCTGGTGCCTAGCACTGTGCCTGGCACAAAGTATGAGCTGGATAAATACATGTTTAATGAATGCAGAGCCCATGGGTCTAATTCAAGGCCTCACCTCCCTGCTCCCTAGGCCTACAGATGCACAGCAGCTCATTTTCTCCTCGTATGCCCCTTTGCCCCTGCTGCAAGCCCTGCTCTCCTCTACCTGGGGTGAGCAGCAGGATCTGCAGAGCTGGGGGCTGGGACTCTCAGCCCAAAGCCCAAGACACAACTGCTATTTGGAACCACAGTAGGACCCAATCTAAAGAGCTCAAAGCAAAGTATATGTCTAATCACAAAATATATCTCTATTCACATAGCAAGAATACTCTCCCAGCACTGTACCACTGGCAGTTTCTGAGCCACTGAAGCTTACCCCCATTTAGCACTATGAATTCAGAAGCAGAATCTTGTTCTCACCCCATAAGAGTCCCGTGGATTTGTAAACATGCGATCAAACACAAAATCCATGTTAGCCATCTTCATTGCCGCCCTGCAACAAAGCAGAACAGGAAAGCGCCAACTCAGTACTAGACATATGGAAAGATGAGGCTCAAATTAAAAGGTGGAACAGTGCATGTCAGGGGAGGGGAGAGAAATGTCAGCAAACCTGTTTAGGAAGAAAACTCCTCGGATCATCTCATAGGGATTGGCCCGGGTCCGAGCTCGCCGCATTTCCTCCCCATCCAGGACATCAAACACACTCTGCTCAGAAAGAATCAGTACCTCAAGGTAAGCACCACCCTCAGGGATGGGACAGGAGACTTGAGAGCTCAAGGAGCCTGGCTCACAGCTCTCCAAACAACTAGGCTCCTGCTGAATCCCAGCTCTGATATGACCGGTTGCATGACCCTAGACATGTTGCTCAATTACTGACCCTCAACTAGGTCACCTGTAAAATGGTAAAAAATAAAATTTAAGCACATTCCTGCATGGTGTTTAATAAATGGCACCTGTGGTTATGCACTGAGCCACCTCTTGGCATTGCTAATCTTCATGGCAAATCTACTTCTCCACTGCCGCAGCAGCTTTCCAAGGGACCAGAGTTCTGACATTAAGGCTCACTCAGAGATGGCAAACAAACTAAGCCTGGGTTTCCTGATGACATCTACCACACAGCAGGATTCCCTTCATCCTTCTCCAGTTTTCTCTCTGAGGAAAGAGACTCATTTTCAACTGCGTTTCAGTCACCTTTAGGGTATTCCCAATACTCTGCCTGCCCAAAAAATCAGCTCTGTGCAGCTAGTCTGAGGCCCTTCCTCTTCTCCCACCCACTTCCTCCTTAGAGTTTCCTCAGTTCATCCTGCTCCAGACAATGCACTTTCTGACCCAACATCAGACCAAAAGATGACAAGGAGAGGCTAACATTCACCCAGTGTTTTAGGAGCCTCATACTATTTCATTTAATTCTCAGAACAACCCTGGGAAGTATTTTCTTCCCATCTTACAGATGAGTTTACTCAAACTCAGAAGCTAAAGCAACTGGTCCAAAGTCACACAGCAAAAAGGTTGGAAAACAAGGACCTGAATCCAGGTCTTCCTGATGCTAAAGAATGATTCCAGACTTTTCACTAGGCCAGGCCTCCCAGGATTACAATGAACCGACCAAGGTTAAGTGGATCCTTTCCTGGCTACCAACCACAGGGCAGCACATACTAGAAGGAGGGACAATAACCAGGAAAAAAGACATCTAGGATAAATACATCAAGCTGCACAGCTGATCTCCAAGAAAAACCTTAGCTAAACTTCGGCTCCCCTTCAAGCAACTCAGAACTAGAAAAGCCTAGCACAGTCCCTCACACAAGGTTTTCAACTCAGCTCTAGCCACAAGGCCTTACCTTACACTGCAACATGCTGTGGAGTAGCTCTTCCCCACAAAACTCTGTTTCATCTTCAATAATCATCTTTCTCTATGGGAAGAAGAAAACAATCTATAATGACCACCTGCAATGCATTTGGAGGGGGATGAATGGAGAAACAAGGTTATGAGTAAGGAGAGCAGGAAGGGGCTTGAGTCCCTCCCAAGGAATATTAATCCCTGAAGGGCAAGAAAGGGAAAATCCTAAATCCCTCTGGCAATACTCCAGATGGCTGTAAGATGAAGCAGTCTCCTGGGTGCTCTGACTAGAGCACCATATGGATACAAGACTCTTGAATGCCGAGGCTGAGGAAAGCAAACAGGAAGGAGACATTCAAGCTGTCTGCCCCTGGAGCACCAAGGCACAAGGGTAAGGGCTGCTCCAAATGACAGAAGCCAGGCCTTCAACAGGAAGCTCGTACTCTGACAAGTATAAATACAGGACACTAGGCACTGACCTGGTAGCATCAGTAAAAATAAGGGCTCAAGGGAGCCTCACAGTGTTATCTTGTGCAACCTCATGTCTGAATAAGGCTACCTCCAAACCAACAATGTTCAAAGCCTAGTGTTCTCAGATATTATACTCCTCAAAACCAGAGGACCCCAAAGAGCTTTTGTTTATGTGGGAGATACAGATCGACTGATTGATTGATTGATGTCTATTACTAGAAATTAAAACTGATAAAATTTAAAAATATTAATTCAGTTTAAAAGAGTATGTTATGTAACATAAATAACATATTTTTATGAAAAACAGTCATATTTCAAAAAAACTTAGCAGAAGGATGGCACTGTTTTCCATTTTTGCAAATCTCTTATTATGTGGCTTAACAGGAGACAGCTAGATTCTCCTCTCCACATCTGTATTCAATTGGTTGTGTATCACGTCACAGTCTCCGGAAAACTCCACTGGACACTTGTGAGAGAATAAGAGTAAAAAAGGCAAACAACTTTTAGGATCATTATGAAAATAACTTTGACCTTGTAGAGTCCCTGAAAGGTCTTGGAGATCCCCAGGGGCCCTATGCTTTGAGGAGAGCTCTCTAGACCATATTGATTTGGTAGAATTTTTCTTGTTCTTACAAATTTCCTTATAACAACTCCCTCATTACTTTCTGAGAACAGGGATAGTATCTTTTCATCTACCTGGAATGGTGCCCAGCACTAACCAGAATAAACACAGATGCATATGTTACTCTAAAAAGCATCTATGAGGAAGGTAAAAGTTATGCATTCTGTGCTGCCTTGCAAGTAAAATGACAAGAAGAAAAAAAAAATCCTGTCTGCTGCATCTCCCAGGACCACATCTGTAAAGCCCTTGACACACCCTCTTGACACAGCTTTATTCCTGCCAGAATGATCAGGCTCCCATTTTTCTTTCAACTCTGAGCATACAGGCATACACGCTGGACTAGAGGAGGAGAAAAGTCAGGAGATAAATGCCAAGAATTCAGGGTACACTTTTCTGAAGTCCTACCTTTCCCACAACCATCCAATCGCTCATCTCCTGAGTGTCAGGAATTTCGGTGGTACATTCTGGGAACCATGACACCTGCTCACAGGCACTGGGCTACAAACAAAGGAGAGGAAAGTAAGCCAGATAAGGCAGACCCTCTGGGTCTCTGCCCCAACTCATCAGGACTTCCCCAAAACAATCAAGAGGTACTCAAGACAGAGTGCGAATGGTCAAGGAAACTGAGGCCAAATGCAGTGGTCAGACATGAGACTGAGTGCCAGAATTCTAAAGTTTAATTTCTGAAGGTCAGCTTTGATTCTGGTTTGAATCCTTAGAAACTTCCCAAACCATCAAGGTTTCTTTCATTTGTTCCAGTATTATTTGATGAATACCTATTATATGCTAAGGCCTCAGAATTCAAAGTTAAAAAGCCATGGTCCTTGACCCAAGGGGCCTACAGAGTAGTGGGGACAGAGAGAAGTACACATGGGATATAAGTCTACGTAAGGTAATTACATCAGGAAGACTGTATGGCAATGAGTCTCACCTCCGGATGCCTTTGTTATTCACCAAATAAATAGGATTCCTTGCCTATGCATTCCAAAACAGAACAGAAACCAGCATCTCTAATGATGTTTCCTTTTAATTTTTCAATTATTTTCCTTATCAAGCTAAAACGGTGGTTTTCATCCTGGCTATATATTAGGATCATCTGTAGTCCTTTTAAAAAGTAGTAATGCCTGGGCCCCACCCTCAAAGTGTAGTATTCTCCTTGCCTGAGGTAGGGAGAGAGAATAAGTCCATTTTTTAAAAGTCCCAGATGATTCTAATGTGCAGCCAGGGCTAAGTTCACTGGGCTAGAGAGAGATAAATTATAAAATCTAAACAGGTGGCTAACCTGCATGGCCACTTGACACACTGCCTCCCAAGCAAGTGTGAAGAAGAGATTCACCATTGCAAACTGAAGCAATGTGATGAAAGGTAATATTACATGCTCTGAAAGGCATAAAATGGTAACACAATGCAGGGTCTTGAGGACAAGCCAACCACTCTCAACAGAAAAAGAGTTTAAAAAGAAAAATTACTGAAGTCTTTTGTCAATGAATCTGACAATGAATCATGGCTCCCCCTTTCCCCCACACTGGTCAAATCCTTCACCTTCAAGTATAAATAGTTGTAAATACTAAAATCTAGTAAAAAAAAAAAAAGAAGCCCATATACACTCTGGACCTCTAAAGGGTCAAACTTTGCATTCTACATTTCTGGGCTGCAGTAGCCATTAAGCATTTGCCTTGCAATGAGTCCAGGAACTGGATATTAACCTCAGGCTACCCAGACCCATCTACCTTAAAGAAGTGGATACCAGCTAATAGTTGAGCCACCCTCTCAACCAAAAGATAGGGCATCTTTTGTAAGAGAAAAACTAAACTATGGTAAATGGTGATTAGGACAGCCTTGCCTCAAAAAGGAATTTCAGTAGTGTGTCTCCATTAAAAACAGAGATTTTTATGGGCAAATTTCTAAATTCCAAGTTTAGCCAAGTTAGTTCTAATTCTGTCCCACTGAGAAGATTGGGAATCTCTACTGGTTTTCATACACATGAGGACATGGAAAGCACCAAGTATTTTTCACGTAAAAACCTACATCTAATACCCAATTATATATATTTACCCTACTGTGCACTGTCTCATCTGCTCTTCTCCTGGTCTTGTCTCCTTACAACTACAAGGCAACACACAAGACCACCTCCAGAACCCAACAGCTTCTGGCTGTCTGCATCTTACTTTGAAGCCTTTTTAGGCTTCATCATGTATGGGTTCATGCGAGTTCTTTCCTGAACTGGAATATCAAGGAAACAAAATATCAATTTTCCAGAGTTCACAGCCACATCTGCTAACTACAGCAATTATGTAAAAGGCTGGACATTTGTATTCTATTTTCTCCAGTTTTGACTCTGTAATGGTAATATATCCTCATTATGTTTAGGTGCTTTTATTGTCCCTACCTCAAATCATTTATGGAATAATGTAGGACTAAATAAATGAATAAAAATAAAATCTCAACATCATCTGTGCCATGAAAAGGGATTAGTCTCTTAGTATTCACAGTTAAAACAAACCAGTACTAAATAGATAAGTAGACTAAACCCACAACAGAAAAGATGTATGAAATAAACACCTATATAGAACTGGGATGGCATAAATCTGTGGAGATACAAGGGCCTCCAAGAGCCTCTAATGCAGTCACTTACACAATGGGAGAGTACATTCTCATTGGGCACACCTAAGTCCTCTTGGCATAAGAAGCTAACTACCTTCTGAGATATCTTAGTCACTTGTGGCAAGCTTTATCTATTTATCGAAGTTCTCTGTGGAACCAAACTCTGCTTTCTGGCATCTTCTACTCACTAGTCTTAGATAGTCCTGTATGAAGCAACAGGGAACAAATCCACATCCTATCATCTCTATCTAGTCCTCTGTTTTCCATTCTGGACAGCCCAAGTATCTTCCACATAAGAAACCAATTCCAATCTCCACTAACCACCCTGACCATACAGCCTCTGGAAACTTCTGATTTGGCTAATGTGGCTACTTAATTTAAAACCATACATCCAAAAACACAACTGGCTTTCCTGCCTCCTCCTCTCCACACCAGTTACCTCTGGTTCATCTCGCCAGTCCACATTCAATTCTTGGTCAAAGCCTTGCAGTGTCAGACCCAAGCCTCTTCTACCTTTTTGATTAGACGCCTCAACGATGTCCTTCCGACCCTGGCTGTATTTACCCAATCCTTCGCCTTCCTTGAAGCCCATCTTAGCCTGAAAAAAGGGAAGCAATGTAGCATTAAATAAACAGATAATAATGGAGCATTTATATAAACATTTATTTAGCCTCTATAATGTGCCAGACATTGTGCTAAAGCCTGAGCTACATAGATAAGGCATAAAGTTTTCATCCTAACCTAATGAAGGAAAAAAACACAAACAGGTAATTGTAGATTAACTGTAGGCCCAGTGGCGGTCTACTGTGGAGGTGAAAGTCTAGGGCAACCAGAAGTTGGGTAAATGAGAAGGGACCTCATAGCTATAATTAAAAGCACCAAGAGTATGTAATGAATCTCACTGGACATTTGCACAGCTACTCTTCCAGCTAATTTGTCTGATTAAGTGAAAAGCAGATCTAGAGTACAGTTGATAAACAGGACATAGTTTAAAATGGAACCGCTTCAAGCGGCAACTTCTGTCTTACACTTAGCAAGTCAAAGAGACTTACTAGGCAAGGACAATGAGGGTTTGTAGGAGCCCTCTTAATCAAGAGATTAACTGAAAAATTACTTCATTTAAAACTGAGGTATAGAAGGTACTATAAGATCCTGAACACATTTTTTAAATGTCACACTGTCTATAAACTCACACTAAACTCTAGTGTCACTGGGCCTAGTTATATATCCCGAAAATCAGAAACCCAAATCCCAAACCCCACAGACCCTTGTCTGATTTTAAAAGAAGATCTAATTCCCCTAGAGGGTCTGTAATTCCCTTTGCAAAGAGCACCACCAGTTTAAAAGCTGGGTGGAATTCCTACCTACTAGAGAAGGTAGCCACCAACCCTTCTCTAGGTCAAAGAGGTTACTGAGTCACAAACTTCTCCATCTTCTACTTCCCCAAAGTTTGTGTCCCAACTGACTATGTCCTCTGAAGTGGTAGATCTCATTCTTGAATAAATCCAACAGAAAATGGAGAAGTCAGCTATAATTTTTCTGAAGCTAGAGAGAAGGCAACTTGGATTTCCCTAACCTTTGCACATACACTAAAGTTCGATGAGGAAAGTAAGCATGTCTTCGTATTCACCTTCCTCCTTGTGGTAAGTCTATGGAGAATGGAAGCTGGGAAGGAGAACTAGGCTTCCTTTGGGAAGTAATACAAAAGACTGTTCAGACACCTGGGAGTGAGCAGGATTTTAGTCATTTCTTTTGAGACCACTCACTAGAGCAAAAATTCAGCATGAAGCCTCTTTACTGATCAACACACATATGGATGTGTAGGCAAATATGTTCACACATGCTCAAAAGAACTCTATAAGGAGACCAAAGGGTCATCTAACCTTGGACAGGACAGGAGAAACAGGCCTGAGCAGCCACCTCCCATAGATGACTCAAGTGTGGTAAGACAGTTCTATTGAATAGAGGCCATACTCTCTCTACTAAATTTCAGTAGCTGGAAAGCAGAGGAAAAACTCACGCCCTAGCTTTTCTTCATTTTATATTACAATTCCCCTTCTCTCATTCTAATAGTAGAGCTCTAGAAACCCAACCCAAGTGCTGACATACCATAAGCTTCTGAGAGACGCTATTATACATGGAATAGCGAGAAGAAGTTCCCTCCACAAGAGAGTCTGCTTTGAACGCATCAAAAGAGTCGGAGCAGTGCTGCTTCCCCTCAGTCTCACTGTCAGACCCACTAAGGCTTTTGGTAGATGCTGGAAAAGAAAAAAGTAAAATGTTCAGGTGAGTCTATGGAACAACATAGCTTCTACAAGTCCAGGTTTCATTTATTCAACTAGTGTCCATATGTGCACTGCACACACAAAGTTCACTAAATGACCCCAGGTGAAATGTGTTCTCTATCTCTTAATGTATAATCTTGGACAAGTCACTGAAAGTTCCTACACACAATGGCAGCTCAGAAATATCAGTTTTCTTTCCCTATCCTTTCAATTTCTTCCCCTACAAAACTGGGATGGTAGTACCTGCCTCACAGGTACTATCTAATTAAATGAAATGTGTTTGAAAATACAATGGTAAACATAAAATGTATTTATTGAAGATATATATATATATATAGTTGTTATTTCTGCTGCTGCTATTTATTATTTGAACAATTTCCAAACATTGATACCTGGCTCCATTTCCAACAATTCAGTCATCAGACTAACAGTTTCTGGTATTTATCTCCCCAGTTCCCTTTGTTTTCATGGTCCTTCAAACTTAAAAGGTAAGAGGGTGAATCAACAGCACAGCCCAGGGAAGAGCTGGCTCAATTGTTATTTCTGCTGCTGCTATTTATTATTTGAACAATTTCCAAACATTGATACCTGGCTCCATTTCCAACAATTCAGTCATCAGACTAACAGTTTCTGGTATTTATCTCCCCAGTTCCCTTTGTTTTCATGGTCCTTCAAACTTAAAAGGTAAGAGGGTGAATCAACAGCACAGCCCAGGGAAGAGCTGGCTCACAGGGGGAGACATGGAAAAGAGCCAGGGAGGAGAAAAAGGGGGTGGAGGGAAGGGAGGAAGAAAGAAGAGGAAAGGAAGGAAGGATGAGAGGGACATGTTCAGGCAGTGCCACTGAGGTGGACAGTAGAAGAGCTGCACCTACATGCTCCAGGTTTCTGGAGGGAGCTGATAGTCTAAGTAAGCTAAGCCGTTATCTTCACAGTCAACAACTTTGTTGCCAAAGGACTCCAAATAAGGCTCATCCGAGCAGCTGCCAATGAAATGGCAGGAGATGGGTTACCTGTCTCCTGGCCAAAAGTGGGATATTCCAAATATTCCCTATGACTGGCTCCTTCCCTCTCTTTAATAGATATATGAATTTCTTGACTTGAGGATTATTTCAACCCAATATAATTTTATTCATACCTGGTTCCATTTCCAACAATTCAGTCATCAGACTAACAGTTTCTGGTATTTATCTCCCCAGTTCCCTGTGTTTTCATGGTCCTTCAAACTTAAAGGTAAGAGGGTGAATCTACAGCACAGCCCAGGGAAGAGCTGGCTCACAGGGGGAGATGTGGAAAAGAGCCAAGGAGGAGAAAAAGGCGGGGCAAGGGGAGGGAAGGGAACTTCAGGCAAACCAACCGAAATTGGGAAATAGACTGTATCTCAAAAATCTGGTTAATAATTGTTGCATATTCCCATCGAAAATAGTATAAATTGTAAGCCAAGAAGAATGAAGAACAGGAAATGAGGGTGGTGGTATCCAATCTGATCCCAAAGAGAAGCTGTACAGTGCTCGACAGTATACATATCTCGCTGATAATTAACTGTGCTTATTTAAGAATAAAGGTTTTTTTCAATTTATGGGCATTATTCTTTTAAACATCTATTTGTTGTTAGGATATAAATACTTGTTATTTAGATATAAATACTTAGTAAACTGAATTGTTAGGTATTTCTTTTGGCCTAGGGGCATAGAGAAAAAAGTTAGGGCAACACCAAAGGTGCCAAGAACCAAGAAAATTTGAGAATCTCTGCTCTATATACTGAAATGAATAGATCACCAAGACACATTAGCAAATGAATAATAGAAAGAGCTAGACCATATGCATGAGCATGGCATCCTAACTCCTGTGTATGAAAGAAGAAAAATAAGAATGTATGTTTTTATTTCTTGTAATTACAAAAAGGGATTTTGGAAGGAAAGATACAGAAGACAACCAATAAAAGTAATTATCCACATACTCAGGGATTGAGGAATAGGGATAGAGTACCAAAATGATTACTTGGGACAAGTGAAAGTGAAAGAAAGGAAATTTGATTTACATTTTAATATCACTAGAGTTTATACCGGCTATCTTTTTGTATTTTTTTATTTATGAACTAATATATTTATGACTGTATTATTTAAATTAATAAATAAGGGAAAACAACTAATTTAGCAATGTGGCATAATTCCTTTAAGGAAGAAAGGAAGTCCCTGAGAAGAGATGGTGAGACAAAGCTTGGCTGCTTGTGGTGGGAGGTACTAAGAAAGCCACAGAGGGCAGCTGTGTAAACCAATTCTTTATATACCCAAGATGGCCACTATTCAGGTACTAGTCATAACTTGAAGATTACATCATGATTCTAAAGCCTATGTGCCCAGATCCATCCACTGCCCTGTATGAACACAAACTTGCTAAGGGGTTGACACTGGAGGAGAGGGAAGCCTTCCCCAGCACCCAGGCCTCGTTCTCCCTTCCACTGTGCTCCAGTACCATAAGTATTCATACCATCAGCACAGCACTCACCACATCGCCTGTTATCATCACATACCACCCCCTTGGACAGAGTCACTCCTAAAGTGTGGGAACTGTGTCACAGACAGACATCCATCTCTAACACCTGGACTGAGGCTTTCCACTTAACAGAAATTAAGTGCTTACTGTAGTGAATGTAAAGAATTGTCACCCAGCTGTCATCCTTGCTAAGCATCTACTGAATGTACCGCTCCTTATATTTCCTTTTTTTAAAATGTATATTTTCTCTTACAACACCTCATACAAGTAGTGCAAGACCAGCCCTCAGAAGTAACAGGGTATATACCATTATGCATTTGTCCAAACCCCAGAGTGTACGAGTGTAAACCATAATGTACACTATGGACTCTGGGTGATAATGATGTGTCAGTGTAGCTTCCTCAGCTACAACAAATGTACCACTCTGGTAAGGGATGTTGATAATGGGACACTGTGCATATGTGAGGGCAGGGAGTACAGAGGATACCTTTGTACTTTTCTCCCAACTTTGCTATGACCCTTAAACTGCTCTAAAAAAAGATACAGTCTTTAAATACTTAAGAAAAAAAAACAAACCAGTGGAACAACAATAACAAAAACTTAAAGCATAAGGATGCAATACCAATATCCTAACAAAGAATTGGGCCCACCTGGAACTTTTTATTTAGCAACCCCTACACCACAAGTAGGTTGAAACAGGACATCCATCAGATCTGTTAGAGAACAAAACACTGATATTGTTTAATAGACCAGACAACAATTTTGGTTCAAGACATGTTAATGGACCAGGTCCATGCTATAAATAATGGGGTACTACCCAAAAGTAATAACCCTATCCTTAGAGAGCTTAAAAATCTAATAGCTAAAATAAATATGCTATAATAATTTAAATTATTCATATTTGTATTTATTTATAAATAAATTATTTGTATTTATTTATAAATAAATAAAAACAGGGATATACATTTTGCAAAAGGTAGGTGAACATGTATGAAAAATTACAGTAAATAGAAAACCAACATTCTGGTTCCTAAGCAGTTAGGCAAGGAGGAACTTGGGTTGAGAATATCCCTGTATGAGAGGCACCAAATCTGTCACTTCCTCTTAAGGTGACTATCCAATTCCCTTAATAAGGAGCCAACTTGCTTACATGGACTAATGCAGCACACACTGCAGAATGCCAAAGCGTGCCTCTCAGAAGGAAAGATCCAGAACATTAACAATGAGTAACCATGGAAACTGAGAGGTGCAGTGATATTTATTTTCTGTTTTGATCTTTTCTGCATTTCTGTATGAGAAATAAGAATATATTAGTTTAAAAATTAGGGTAAGAAAAATTGAGCTATAAAGAAATAAAAGTGCCATTCCAAGCTTTGCAAAGAATTTGGTTCCTTTCTAGAGAAATCTTCAGGGGATATCTGAGTGGAAAGAGTCCTAAGTGGCTCAAGACTAAGCTTGGGCCTCTCATCTATCATGTCCTATGCAGAGGAGAGATATAGGCTCTGCAACAGAGCACCCACATGCTAAAGAACCACACTTCCAAAGGTGCAGATTCTCTTCACTCAGTTGCTTCCATGCCTTCAACCTGTACTGCTTAGTACAGAAAGAGGTGGTACCACGAATGTGGGCAGCTCCCTGAGCACAGCCATAAAATTTCCTTCCAGGCAGCCCAGGAATCCAGGGTCCTGACTAACCAGAAGCTACAATGTTAAATCAGTTCCTACTCCTTTCGAAACCAGCCATCTGGAGATTCATAGGCCTATCTATGCAGAGGTTAGGAAAACCTGGTAGCCTTCTCAAAGGAGAGTATGCCTTTGGTCCAGCCCTACAGAATTGCCAGGCTGTTTGGTTTGCTCAAGGACCCATCGATGCACACCCACCAATGGTATGAGTATCATTTCTGGGCATGCAGGGCCCCTGCCACCCTTAAAACTCAGAGAGGGAGAAAAAGATTTTTTGTTTTGTTGTCATAATATTTTTGGACCAAGGTGGCAGGGAGAACCACATTTGGGTGAAAGCCTCATTAGGCAAATCAGTGATGACTTTGGTGTAAAATTCCAGCCCAACTCTAGCAGAAAGATTTGCTTCATTCCTCTTTCCTAAGTATACAGCTGTCCTGTCCAGGTTCTGAAAGTGAAGTTAAAAGGAGCTAAAATATCATCCTCCTAGGCATTTATTTGTGAGATCAAGAAGTATGCTAGATAAGCAGATAAGCCTCATTTCTCTCTTTTATTTCATGTGGTATTTGAAGCAAATTCTTAGTGTGACATAATTTAAGACAAAGTTCCCTAGATTAGTCCTGATGTCCACAGATTGCCACAGCCACTACTCATTTTTACCCCTGGACCTTCGGAGGCAATCTTTTCAGATGAAAAGGAGACAACTGTCATGGCTGCAGCAAGAACTAAAGAGGACATTTAGCCTTCCAAGACCGATAAGAATTTAGCAAACAGTGAGCAGTCCTGTAATGAGGATATAAATTAACACGACTAATAAGGTCAGTCTATCAAAATCATTAGTTTCATTAAGAACCTGACAAAGCTGGTGACATTCCCATTTACCTCCCCAAAAGCTCCCCTTCTAAAACCTACCAGAGAGCTCAAAATACTATATTTAAAGGTTTCATTTAAGATTTTATCTTCACTTCATAGAAATCATTACTCTTAAGTCATTTTAAAGAAGGGCTCCCTTTATAGAAGAAACAGAGGTTCCCCAGGTGCTGGCAAACATTTCACATGGCAGTAAGCAGTAGAGCTAACATGCCAAGATTAAAAGTGACAGTGACAACACACAAAGAAGGGCGGTTCCAAACACCAGTGGCCAAGGTGAGCACCACACAGACACAGAAGAATAAATTATGGATTTTTATATAAACATCACATCCTGCCTAACAATTGCTCTGGAATGTACTCATTCCTGTTTAAAGACTCAATTTGTCCTTTATGGCAGACAAATGGTAACTCATTAGAGCAATTTAGCAGATACTGATAAAGGAAGTTTTTGATTAAGGTCATGAATCTGAGCTGATAGGACAGCAAAGGTGTTTCAGGGAAAATAGCATATTTACAGAAGAATTAAACCTGGCGGAGGGGAAGGTGCTTTTACTGTGGTGCCAGTGAAGAAGCAGGGCCACTAGAAAGCCAGGAGCACACACTGGATGCACAGTTCAGGAGAAAAGGAAATTGTCTTGGGGTCTAGACCACAGTTCACCTGTGAAAAACAACCAAAAAGAACAAAATGACCTGCATATGCCCCTCTGTACTTCAATATGCTATTATTTAACAGCAAATTTCCCAGTTTATTTAGGCTTGAAAATGCCTTCAAACTCCTCTTAAAATGCTCAAAAGAACATATAATGCCACACTGGCCATGACAACAACATCTCTTTTTTTCTTTACTCTGGTCAGATGTCTGACTCTGCCCCAGCAATGCAGCTACCTTATCAATAATGTAAAATAAACAAACTGATTAAACTAAATAGATCTATAAATGAGTCATCACACTAATCTAGCAGAGCACAAATAAAGCCCATGCAGACAGGGCTTTTTTCCTTTTCCTTTTTGTACTCCCTAAAGAACAATTTTCAATTATCTGTTCAATGGGTAGAAGTGGTTGGAGTAAAAGGAAACACACCTGCTTTAATGCAATGTCTTGACTAGGAAAGCTGCATACAGATCTCAGGGGACATGTAGTTTCTGGTGAGACACTAAACTATCCAAAGCACGCCTAAGAGGAGCCAATACAGAGCAGATGATAGAAATGCTAAGCACTTAATAAAATGATCTTCTGTATTATTTTGCCTGTCACTCCTCTAGGAGTGACAGGCAAAATAAAAGAGGTAGAGCTTTTTAACTCCCTGGAAAAGATAATACTATTGTCTTCTGTCAATTCTATTCAATAAACATTTACTGAGCAAGTTACTCCATGCCAGACTTGGGGTTCAGGGGGAGAAGCACAGAGAACAATCTTGCTGATGAAGACATCAGACTCTAGCCCTCACGAGTTTTTGTGTCAATGTGGAGCTATCCCTTCCTAAAATAAGCCGACCCAGGGAAATCTAGCAATGGCTGTTGGCCTCTGCCTCCTGCCTCATTTTCTGCAAATGAAAGGGACCAAATGGCCCATTGCCAGATACATACGAGGTACTGGCCACCTCTAGATTTCCATTCTGTACACATAACAGCAGTAGTCAAGCCTGAGTCACACAGTGCTACTTTCAGAAAAGGTTAAAGCTATTTGGTACAATTCAAGGGCGTTGGAGATAATCTCAATTCACAATCACATTTTTTTAAACCTTGAAATTTAAATCAGACTGTTCCATTGAAAGATCCTTAACCATATACCTTCCTCTATCTGGGAGTTGTTCTCTTCTGACTTTAAAGAGACGTTACTAAGAGCAAATATTCCCCAAGATTCCCTTAGAACCAGACATCTCCACCAACTGAGTATCATTCATTTCTCCACAGAGGCTGACCCTTTTGCCCTTGTAGGCCATCTCACAATACTCCAGAGCCCTACTCAAGGAGAGTCTACCTTTACCAAGCTGCTCAAATCCCTGATAAGAAGCAAAACTCCCTTTCCTCAACAGTTCCTACAACCAATGATCTTATGCTTTTGCCTCCTCACTTAGTAACCTCAAGTACACAAGCCTTTCTCACCTATCCTGGAATACATTTTAACCACTTTAAACGCACACATATCTCCACACAGGTTATGAGAGAGTCATTTTCCAGCTGGGACCACAGCTACACCAAATGCTTCAGCTATACCACCTGTCAAGCTTCTCTCTGGATCAGCTTCTTGGTACAGCTGATGACTAACTGCCCTTCAGTTAGCCTCTACTTGTGAATAAATCCTGTTTTCTACCACTCTCAAAGGATACTTCACACCTTCTCAGTCACCAATCTGTTACTAAATTTCATTCCAGTTTACCAGTAATCCAACAGAGGATCTGAAATGCAAAACTGCTGGTATACTGGATTGAATACCATCCCCCAAAAGATCATGTCCACCCAGTACATGCCAACATGACATTTGGAAATAAGGCCTCTTTGCAAATAGGATCAAATTAAGATGAGGTCATATTAGATTAGGGTGGGCCCTAATCCAGTGACTAAGGTCCTTATAAGAAGAGGGAAATCTGAACACAGACACACAGAAGGCAGGCAGAGGCAAAGCCTGGAGTTATACTGCTACAAGCCAAGGAACACACAACCACCAAATGCTAGAAGAGGCAAAGAAGGGGTATTCCCACGAGTCCTAGGAGAGAGCATGGCCCTGCTGACACCTTGATTTTTCAGCTTTGCCCTCTAGCAATGTGGAGAATAAATTTTTGTTTTAAGCCACTCAGTTTGTAGTAATTGTTACAGCAGCCCTAGGAAATTAATACACCTGGCAAGTAAATGCAAATAGAGCTACTTCTAATTGCTTGGTATTTAGACAATCTCCTAGAAATTTAACAATTTTTCACAGAAAGCATGTGTGAAAACTGTGAATGTCCACAACTCTAAAAAATAGGCAAAGCAAAATGTTAGCTTCAGCCAGATGAGTGAAATCCTTTGAGCTTAATGTAAACAATTAACACAGTGATGCTCCAGTTCATTTGGGTGTTTCTGATCACAACTGCTGGGAGAATTGAAAAAAACAGAATGAAAAAACCTGAGGGGAATTAGGCCAGATCACTCTAACAAAGAGTCCATCCCACGAACGAAACACAGGATGATCAAAGCAATTAAGAGCACAGGGCACTCAATGCTCATCACTTCTTCCAACTAGTTCAAGGCAGCAAAAGAGTATCACCTACAGAAGGACCGGCGAGAGAACTAAGGCACTTCTGAAAAAGCTCTCCACACATAGTAAGAGAATGGCAGAAGGGAAGAGAGTCTACAGTCAACACTTCTCTGTTGTTTTGCCTAATTCTCCCCAATGGGCAATAGGCTGTATTCTGCCCAGTTCAGGCACCAGGGATTCAAATAACCAGATGACCAGTGGCCTCAGACTACACAAGCAAGCATACCTTTTGCTGCATGATTGATAGAAGAGGGAGGCTCATCCTCAGATGTAGAGCTGAGGTTCAGGGCAAGCTCTGCAACTCTCTTCTTCTGCTTCTTGATTGGAGCAGTGCATTCTGGATCACTCCTCCTTTTCATGGTTACTGCAACCATAAATCCCAATAGTCAGCTGCCCTCAGAGCAGGGATTCCCAAGCATAAATCATCAATTGGATGGGATTTGGCAACTCCAAACAGCTTCTAGCACCAGCACTTGAACACCCTCTTCCTTAGAATGAAAATGCTAGCCAACCTCTGGTTTTCAATAACAGATACGAGTTTCACTGGAAGATGTGGTATTCATAGACCCAGAGGCCTCTGGGCCATTGGAGTTACATACCAAAAGTCATGGATCAACTCCACAAGCCACAGGGGGAAGAAAGGCCTTGGGTACTTGTCAGTCTATACTTTTCATACAACATTGGCTATGTGTAACAACAATGTACACTGGGAATTATGAAATCTAATGAATATCAACCAGTATTTCCAAGATGAAGGGACCATCCTAGAATTGTTCCATGGCCATTATTATTTTACCAGGACAATTAATAGATTACATAATATGATACAAACACTGGTTTTGGTTTACTTCAGGATGTTTGAAAACATAAAAGAACTGGAAAAATTTTTTAACCAGAGTAAGGAATAGAAGTGGTTGACTTAGAACTGAGGAAATAGAAAAGTGGGAAAGTTACTGGGACAGAGGTAGCTATTATATCAGTGGACTCAGGCACAAAAACAATAATTTTAAGAACATTAACCCACCTCCACAAAATAAGAAATGGAAACAGGCAGACACCATAGGTACATGAAAGGTAAGCATGAGAAAAAAAATGAGATGAAATGAAGATTCTGAGACCCAGAAATCTTAAGGAATGATCAAGTTTAAGAGCAAGCAACAGTAGCAATGAATACAGTGGAATTTACATGCAACCATTGGTTTTAAGAAGACTCAGAAAAAAGGGGACTCAAAACAGAAGCAAATAGGTGGGTGACCACTGGACTGCAATCCCTTGGAGGAGGGGAGGGGAAAGGGCACAAGAACAAACTTAACAGCATGGGTCACAGCAGCAAGAAAGCAATGAAATCCAAAGATCCCTCAACCTCACAAAACCCAGAGTCACGTTTCACTTCTCTCCAGCTCAAGAATGAGCCAGTCAACCCAAAACATAGTCTCATGTTAAGCAGGCAGCCTGTTACTAGGCACGGGCAGGGGCTATCCTGGGGAAATAGGGAGAATGGGAAACACTGTAGCAACAGAAAGCAAGACCAGGTTGATCCACATTTCACTTTAAATCTGGCCACCCTAGCTAGCCTCCCTCTCCACCCCTGCAAAAAAAAAGGACCATAACAAAAGCTAAAAGAGCCCTCTGATTTTTAACGACTCACTGGGGAGATTAGAGGCACAGGAAACTCAATATGGACTGTGTTGGGGTAGGTGCAAGAAAAGGAGAGCAAATAGTTTTGTGAAAGCTGGAGATACTGATGCTCCTCCCCAAACCACTTAGATTTGGGCCTTCCAAATCATCTAAGCCAACCTTCTCTATTTCCACTGGAAAAAAACTGAGGCCCGAGAGTGGAAGGCCGCAGTTAACCACTGCCCAGCTCAAGTGACTGTACAGGCCAGAAGCATGTGCCCCAGCAGGGAACTTCTCGAAGTGTTAGGCAGAAAGCCTGGTTCTCCCTGCTGCTCCCCCAGGGAAGGGGTTCAAATCCCCTCTCCGGTCTTCTCTCCCCGGGTCTCGGTTTCGCACTGCCACCCCTATCCACGGGGATAAGTGAGAACTCCCATCTCCCCGGGCCAGGCTTTCCACTTGAAGATAACGTGAGCGTGTGAGTGCGTACGCAGAGACGTTCTGCCAGCGGCGGCCCGGGCTGCGAGGAGCTGGAGGAGCGGTCTGGAGTGCGGTGGCGAGTGTGAGGGAGGGGCGGGAAGAAGCGGCGGCGACGGTCACGACCGCCGGTGGGGCCCGGGCGGCGGTGGAGGGGAGGAGGATGCTGAGCCCGCGCGCCTGCCCGCTCACTCCCCCCGGGCCGCGCTTCGGCACTCACGCTGAGGGGAGAGGGTGAGCTGCCAGGGAGCGGAGCGGGGTGGGCGTCAGGCTGCCGTTGCTGCCGCCACCAGGCCTGGCCCTGCCGCTGCCAGAGCCGCCGCCACCTCCCTCAGTTTCGTTTCCCCACAAGCTAGCCTGGGTCCGCCGGCCGCGCTGTCGCGCTCGGGTCCCGCCCTGCTGGCCGCGCGGATTGATGACGTCACGAGACAGCCGGCTCCCCCCTCCAGGCCGGGTCCTGGCCCCGGGGAAGGAAGCTCGTACTCTGGCCCGCCCCACCCCAACCCAGGGCGGCCCAGGGCGCCTGCGCGGCAAACCTTCCGGGAATGGATACAAAAAGGCAAAAGTATCAAATACTTTCGGCTCTTGGGTACCGAAATAAATATGAAAATTGAAAGGGCCAAGTAGCGCTCCATCGTCTCACCTCAGTCTCATCATTCTCTTCATTTTTCAGATTAAGAACAAATTTAGAGAAGTAAATTTAGTTTTTGGTAAAATGAGGGCAAAAACACAATCTTCGTGTTCACTGCTGTGTCCCCAAAATTCAGGATATAGTACATCCTCAACAAATGCTGAACAAAGGTAGGGAGAAAAGAAGGAGTGCCGCCTATGGCATCTTACCGTATGGGCACACATAGCTTCCTATTCCAAACCCCACTTCCGATTTTCAGGCAACATGGCCAAAAGTTTGCGGAACCTTCTCACTGAGGACCTCTCAACCATAAATTGAAATCTGACCTTACGTTCTACTATAAGCCTGCCTTATCCTGTGAATGGCACCACCATTCAGCTGTTGGCCCAACCAGAAATCTGTGGAAGCCCCTTCTACCCTCATTGCCCATAGCCTCTAATATACACTTCATTAAGTTTACCTCCAACTTATCCCTCACATCTATCCATTCTTCTCCATCCCCTTTGCTGCTACCATGCACACTCTCCAGGATTTTTTAAATCATCTCCAAATCATTGTGTCAGCCTCCAGTTGCGATCCCTCTAGTGCATTCTCCACAAAGCCAAAGTAATTTTTTTAATGTGTTCTAATCCTATCAAAGCTTCCCATTGATGCCGGGGTTCTTGTTCACGAAGCCAAAGAATGAGCTTCACAAACACTCAAGGTAGGAGAGCTTGGTATAGGCTTTTATTTAGAGATACGGTGAGAAGACAGAGCTCCAGTAGTGCGTTGTCTAGGAGGTTTTATAGGCAGTTGAGGATTTTTCGAGAACATGAAAAAAAGCTTAGGGGTGTGGACTTATTAAGCAGTCCCAGGATATTTACAATTAACTTGATGCAAGTAACCTCCTACTCTTTAGATTTCTCCCTGAAATACCAGCATCTTGGTCTGGGGGCATATGAAACAAGGCCACCTGCTCAGCCCCCAAGGTGGGCTGAGGCATTGTTTGCTAAAGAGTAAGTTAAGTGCAATCTTATCTTTAAGGTGGAATCCTTCTTGCCTTTTACTGTGTTATGGCTGGGCTTGCATGTTAAATTAGTTTGCCCAGTTGCAAAATCACTTCATCAGATCTGAAGGAGGAAAAACAGCACATACTCCTGGGCCTTTTAGCATGTTATTAAGCAGTCCCAGGATATTTACAATTAACTTGATGCAAGTAACCTCCTACTCTTTAGATTTCTCCCTGAAATACCAGCATCTTGGTCTGGGGGCATATGAAACAAGGCCACCTGCTCAGCCCCCAAGGTGGGCTGAGGCATTGTTTGCTAAAGAGTAAGTTAAGTGCAATCTTATCTTTAAGGTGGAATCCTTCTTGCCTTTTACTGTGTTATGGCTGGGCTTGCATGTTAAATTAGTTTGCCCAGTTGCAAAATCACTTCATCAGATCTGAAGGAGGAAAAACAGCACATACTCCTGGGCCTTTTAGCATGTTAAAGTAAATCTTCAACATGATTATAAATGATTAGCATAAAGTAAACATGTGCTACTCTTCTTTATCTGGGGAACACCAACTGATCTAACTAAAGAATGACTCTAGAGCTGAATGTTTAGCACAGAGTTTTAGTAGGGGGTCTCCTTGCATGCAGTTACATTGCTCTGACTGCAAATATCCTGCCTTGCTTTTTTCTGGAGGTGCTCACCCTACTCTGACTACACCCACAGTCCCTGTCTCACCATCAATGACTTCTCACTTCTCTTAGAATGAAGCTAATGTTCTTATGATGACTGCAAGACTCTCCCGTCTGATTCTTTCTGTAGCCATGCCTTGTGCTACTGGTCCCTTACTTCTCCCCATCCTGCCTCTAACGGTTCATTCCCCTGCCTGGATGGATCACTCTTTACCCCCTCTTGACTTGGTTAATGTCTGCTTACTCCTGAGGTCTGTTTAGCGTCCTTATCTCTAGAAATCTTTCCTGATCCCACAAGTCTGGGTTGGGAGACCCACCCCTGCTCCCATAGCACTCTACCCTTCTGCTAGCAAAGCAATTAACCACCCTTGTTGTGTAAAGACCCACTGACTCGTCTGCCTTCTCCACTCAGTTTTCAAATATCTGCAGGAAAGGTTATGTCTATTTGTATTGAATCCATAAGATTTAGCACAGTGGATCATGGCAAGTGCTCAATTGACATTTATTGAATTTGTGGAAGTATGGAAGGTGAATGAAGGTTAACTGGATATGCCCGAGATCGCAGAGCTAGGAAGCACCAAATGAGCATTTAAACCCAGGTCTGTTTGGTTCTAAAGCTCAGTGTCTTTCTACCTCACCAGGGTTCTTAACAGTGTTGTGCCTTAGATACCTTTGGTAATCTTATAAAGCTTATGGACCCATTCTCAAAATAATTTGAAAGGATAGGATTACAAAGGAAATCAATTATATTGAAACACAGCTATTGAACAAATTTTGTGATTTTTAATTTTAATGCAAAGCATTAAATAGTAAGAGTATATTTATAAGCAGAGAAGGAGAAATGCCATATGATTTCACTTATTTGCAGAATACAAAAACAAAGCGAAATAGAAGGAACAAAACAGCATTAGACTCATAGACACTGAGAAGTAACTAGTGGTTACCAAGGGGGAAGAGAGTGGGTGGGGGTGGGGGGAGTGTTTGGAGCCGGGGCTGTGTCCCTTCCCCCATGTTTGAATGCAGCGTGGGAAAGCACCAGCTTGAGAGCAACCGGTGCACTCCTTGGGAGTTATCTGCGCAGCTAGTTCAGTCGGTAGAGCATGAGACTCGTGAGTTCAAGCCCAACTGCAGCGGCCGAGGCAAGCAGCTTGGCTGCTGGTCGGCGACGTGAAGGAGCGTCAGCCCTCCCCATCTCTCTTGTGTCCTTTATTCCGGTCTCCTCATGTCCTTCGGTAGCCCTGTTCGACTGTTGCGGCTGGACCGCGACAAGTGGCGCCCGAACAGGGACCTACAGGACGGAGGGGGAGACAGCCACGTCTGAGGTACTCGGAAGTCTTTCGCGAAAGCAGAGTTGCCAGCAGAACGGGCTGTGGCAGAAAATTATCTACAGAACAGGCTGTAGATGAGTACAATTCCAGAGTGGTAAGTATTTTTCGGGGAGCCCAGAATGGGACATGCAAATAGTAAAGAGTTGTATGTCTCAGAGTTAAAAGTACTTTTGGCTAATAGGGGAATCAAGGTAGGAAAAGCCCAACTTGATAGTGAAAGGAAAGGAGCGACACATAGCAATTCACCGGAGAGTTCCGCTTTATTAGGGAAAGGTGCTGGGTTATATAGGAGGGGGCATGAATTGATTGAGGTGTCACTTCTATGGGGCTGGTGGCTGTTGGCTAGGTGCTGGGATTGGGAGGGGGGCGAGAGGTGATTGGGCTTCAGGTGGCGCCGGCGGGAACTGAGGACCCCGAAGAGAAGCCGGAAGTTTGCCATCTTACTGGTGGGGACCCTTCATTCCCCCCTTTCTCCTCTATGGGTTTGTGGACGTTGCTTTCTCTCTGGCTGCTTCCTGCTGAACAGGGGCGGAGAAGGGAGTGAGGGCTTGAGGATTGGGAGGAAAGGGTTGATAGGACTCCCCACAGTAAGGACGAGTAGATGTGGACTTCTTCAGGTTTGGAAATCAATGAAGGTTCCCTGTAACCATAGGTTGGCCAAGAGGATATGGGTGTCAGGAGCCAGGCGTCTGCGGCTATTGTTTCCAGGAACAGTTTCCAGTGGAGAGAGGGGTCCATCTCAGCGTGTGGTGAGGAGGTCACGTGAGGGTGAGGGATCTTCTGTGGCCAGAAGCTGGTAGTTCCTGAGTAAAAGCTGGTTGAAAGCTTGATTAGAGATTTTTCCGACTTGGGATTTGATGAACTTTATTATACAGGGTAAGAAGAGACAGGCGAGAAGAATGATTATTATGGGGCCTGCAATGGGCCAGAGCCAGGTGAGGAGGGGGTTTGTTAGTATTGAAGAGAATGGGTTGGAATTGGAAGCAGAGTGGAGACTGGAGGCAAGGTCGGTGAGTTTGGTAATGTCAGTTTCTACAATGCCGGATTCGTTGATGTAATAGCAGCACTCTTCCCAGAGGAAGACGCAGGTGCCGCCCTTCTCGGCTGTAAGCAGATCTAGGGCCCGCCGGTTTTGAAGGGTGACTTTAGCTAGCGAAGTGACCTGTCTTTGGAGAGAGGCTAGGGAATCGGCAGTGGATGTCAGGGCTCCCTCAAGTTTGGCGTTGAGATCTCTAACTGCCCATAGAGAGTGACCCAAGGCTTCTCCCGAAAACCCTGCCCCAATGGCTGAGGTGATCAAAGAGCTACTGACCATGATGGGAAGGAAAGCAGCTCTTTTTGTGCGCGAGGGCAAGGGAGGTTGGAGCTCAAGAAATTCTGCCATGCTGTAAAGTGTTAACTGTGGGATTAGGGTGACGAGAATGCAGGGTGTATCGGAGTTGAGAGGCAGTGAGTTGAAAAGACTGCTATTACACTAAAAGAAGTGTCCCGGTTGCGTAAAAGTCTTAGAGCCGGAGGTAGGGGTGTAGATAGAGAGGCAGTGAAGTGCGCTGGAGGGGGGTGGAGTTGGGCCTACACAGTGGTGGATGGTGAGATTATCTGCGTATTCTGGTTCCCATAGGGGTATGTCTGCCAGGGGGCAGAGGGGTTGTCTTTCTGCATGGAAGGAGTAGTTGGAAATATTAAGGGGCACGGCGGCCAGCAGTGGGCGCTGTAGTGATGCGCACAAGAAACAATTGGCTGTGTTAAGGGTGTGGTTGAGAAAGATGGTGGTGTCCTGAATGAGCTGTAA